GATTCACCAAAGAAGATGGGGATCTCTCAACTACTGAGGGTCGTAGTAACCTATTGATGACTGTCATGTTGAGTAGGCCCAAGCACTTGTGGTTGGCTCCCGAATGTGCTCCGTGGTGTGCCTGGAATCGATTCAATGCAGCTCGCAGTGCATCCGGATTCCAACGTGTCAATCATGTCCAGGATGAGGCCAGAGTCCATTTCAAGTTGTGTAACCTGCTTTTCAAAATACAGCAATCCCATGGAGGACACACTCACTTGGAGAACCCTTGGACATCCGATATGTGGAATCAGAAAGAACTCCGTGAACTCTTGCAGGGATCGTTGACTGCTCAGCTCGATCAGTGCATGTTTGGATTGCGCCACCCGGAAACAACCGAAGCCATGCAGAAAAGGACAAGAATCCAAACGACATCCAGGACAGTCTTTGAAGGACTAGATCATCGGTTATGCAATCATGATCACAAACATGAACAAATAGCAGGGACATGTCACTGGAGAGGTAAAACTATCCGAGTTTCTCAATTTGCAGGACACTATCCAACCATGTTTGCAAAGGCTGTTGTAAAATGCATACTACGGGATAACACGGGACCCATAGAAAGTCCAGTTTATCATGTTGATGATGAACCAGTGGAACCTAGGGCCAAGAAAGCTAGGACCTCCGAACCTGAACTGCCTGATGCCGACATGGATGGTGGAGACAGCAATCCATGGAAACAAGTACTTGAGCAGGTTCGAAGTGATTTGCCCAAGTCCGGAATCAAAACCTGGACAAACCCCCTGCATGTTGTGTTCCGAGCGGTTCAAGCCCAGATGCCAGAGCAACAAATCGGCGCTATCAAGGCTGGTAAGGGTCTTGACAAGTACATATGTGCCGAGACTGGCTGGGAAGATGAGTTTCCGCTGAGAAAGACTGTAGTCCTTGCTCGCTTCACCAAGAAAGTAGAAGATCTAGGTATAGAAGATTGGACAAAACTCACCAAAGGCAAACGCAATCGCCATGCAAGACCTAGTCATGTTATGGTTTGTATATTTGCCAGAGCGAAGCACCGGACTCAAGAGGAAGAGCCACAAGAGCTTTCCCAGCATGCACCAGCCACACCAGGCATGGAAGTTCCCGACCTAGACAAAGCCAACCCTGGTTCTGGGTCACCTTTGTCTTCCACACCCTATGTGCCAGTTCCGACGTGGACACCTATGTCAGCTAGTGTTTCAGGACCCAAGTTCCAAGAGTTAACCGAAGAAGACAAGACAGCCATTCGGCGTCTACATAACAACTTAGGTCACCCAACTGCCGAGAGACTAGCTCGACACCTGTCCGAAGCCAATGCGAGATCTGCCTTGATTGGAGGTGCCAGAGACTACCTCTGTGCGTCATGCGCAGAGAGGGTGAAACCCGCTCTCACTACTCCAGGAAACCTGAAAGACCCAAAAGAGTTCAACGAACGTATATCACTAGACGGTTTTGAGTGGACCAGTTCAAAAGGGTATAAGGGGTATGTGTTACATGTACTTGATGAAGCAACCCGGTTTCATTTAGGTCAGAGGGTAACCCGAGATAGTCAATCCTTCATAAAGCTTCTCAAATTAATGTGGTTCCAGTGGGCAGGATATCCAAAACAAATGGCACATGATCAAGGTGGCGAATTCATGACCGTGGAATGGAAGGATCTCTTGCGCCAACATGGCATCCAAGCAGTGTTGTCAGCCGCCCCGTGGCAACGTGGACGCATCGAGCGTCATGGAGGCATAATAGAAGAAATGCTGAGTAGGATAGATCAAGAGTTTCCCATCGAGACGTCACAACAGTTTGATGAAGCATTGACGCAGTGTTTTCATGCCAAAAACACCATGTCCATTGTCTCAGGATACAGTCCAGAGCAAGCTGTTTTAGGACGTGCCTCGATGTCTAGCATGTCAAAGCGAAGACTTGGACAGTGCAAGATTTCAACAACGTTTGCAGGTTCGTGCCTCTGCCCGTGCCGCTTTTGCAAAGGCTGACAACAGCAGTGCCATCAGGCGTGCAATGTTGAGACAGTCCAGAGGTGAAGTCCATCAATGGTCATGTGGTCAATTGTGTATGCACTGGGATAGGCGTAAATCCCCCAATGTCATGGAAAAGGGTCGATGGAACGGACCAGCACAAGTAGTCTGCCAGGAGTCAAGAACAATTGTTTGGGTCACCCACCTCAACCGACTGCTTAGATGTGCCAAAGAAAATTTTCGACCGGTATCCATGCGTGAATTTCAACAACACTCGACGTTTGTACAAACATCAGATCCCAATCAACTTCAACATATGTCCCAACAACTACAAAGGAGCCTTCGGGAAAGAAGTGGTCTATTTCAATACCTCGATATGAGTAATGATAGTCCTGATCCCAGAACTAATCCGGAAGATAATCCCGAAGAAAACAACGACCCCAATCTTTCAAGTAATGCTTCAGTTCAACCAGAAGAAGAACCTAACAGAAGAATCTCCCTTGACACCCAACTTGATGCTCAGAGACTGTCTGACGCCATAGAGACTCCCGTACCAGAATCACCAGTCTCCCCAACACCGGTTGAAGCTGAGAACGACGCGGAACAGAGTGACGATGCGGATCGAGATCTTAACTCAACTGTCACAATGGAATCAGACTCTATAATGTTTCCATATGTGAAAATGTTGCAGGTTCTGATATAATTGTAGAAGACCAGTCAACAGCCTGGGAATCCAAAGACACTCTGGAACATGCATGCGTTTCGTTTGACTTTGAAATGCCAAAGCAACAGCTTTCCCGGTTCCTGAAGATGCCCAAAGAGTATCTTCCATGTCTGACAGCTGCTGCAAAGAGATCACGTAATGAGGTAAAATATGGAGAATTGACCTCAAAAGAAAGAGAGCTATTCCAAGCTGCCAAACAGAAGGAACTCCAGTGCTGGCTTGACACCAAGACCGTGCAGGCTATCTTGCGTGACAGGATACATCCGAGCCGAATCATGTCATCCCGATGGATACTTACTTGGAAAGAGGATCCTACATCAGACACGGGGAAGAAAGCCAAAGCCCGACTGGTCGTAAAAGGTTTCCAAGACCCTGACATTGACTCGGTTTGTTCTGATAGCCCGACTCTCACGAGAGATTCGCGGATGCTCCTGCTCCAAACAGTAGCCAGCCAACAGTGGATTGTGCAGAGTTTTGACATTACCACTGCTTTCTTGCGTGGACGTTCGGATGAGCGTGAACTAGCCATGGAAGCTCCTATAGAACTAAGAGAACTTTTAGGTATGACCCCACAACAGGTTTGTCTTCTCAAAGGAAATGCCTATGGAAGGGTTGATGCCCCACTCTTATTCTATAAAGAGTTTCGCAAGAGACTTGAAGACGTAGGTTTCAGTGTGCATCCTTTAGATAATTGCTTATTCCTGCTCCGCAATCCGCAAAATCCAAAGATCCTGGACGGAATACTGGGGACCCATGTGGATGACGGGATCGGTGGTGGCAACAAAAATTTTGAAGCTGCACTTGAAAAACTACAAGTTAACTTGCCTTTCGGTTCCAGGGAATATGGAAAGTTCAAATTTACTGGTCTTGAAATTGAACAACTACCGGACTTTTCCATCAAAGTAAATCAAGGAAAATACATTCACCAAATAGCACCTATTGATGTTCCAAAACCTAGGAGGGTAGAAACAACTAGTCCAGTCACAAGCCATGAGTTGCATCAGTTGCGAGGGCTTTGCGGAAGCCTTCAATACGCGGCAGTACATTCAAGGCCTGACTTGGCCACACGAGTAGCTCACCTCCAGAAGGGCATCACCAGTGCTACGGTTGAGTCTTTACTTGAAGGAAATAGAACACTGAGAGAAGCACAACAACATGCTGAGACAGCAGTGATAGTTCGGTCAATTCCCATGCACAGTATCTGCTTTGCAAGTTTTGGCGATGCGAGTTTTGCTTCAGCCAAGCAGTTGTCCGCACAACAGGGTTTGTTCATCATGGCATGCACCGAAAAACTTGGAAATAATGAGACCACTGAATTTTCCCCCATCGTTTGGCACTCCAAACAGATAGGCCGTGTTGTAAGGTCGACCTTAAGCGCTGAAGCCTATGCTATGTCGAGTTCGTTGGACAAACTCACATGGATCCGTTGCATGTGGGGTTTCATAAAAGATCCAAACTTCTTATGGTCCAAGCCGGAGACCTCCCTAAAACAAGAACCATCTGGTTTAATGATTACTGATTGTAAATCCCTCTTTGACCTGATAACGAAAAATGCAGTGCCCAACTGCCAAGAATGGAGGACTACAATCGAAGTCATGCTACTTAAGGAGCAATCCAAAGACCATACCACTTGTCGTTGGGTCTCAACCGCTATCATGCTTGCAGATGGCTTAACCAAGGTCATGGACAATACGTTCTTGAGAACGGTCTTGCAACTGGGAAAATTTAGAATCTATGATGAAGACTTAACCCTTAAACAAAATGCCAACAGGAAGTACGGTATCACCTGGGTTAACAATCGAATTTAAAATAGAGACGAGTGTGAATTCCAGTTCATGCCAGCCTTTGTCCATTCGATTGTCTTGGGGGTTCATGCAGACATGAACGAAGGGTTCATGATCTGCTCGATATATGGTGGCTCAAGGGCCCAATACTTCAGGACGCATAGGGGAGAAACACTTGCGCGTGCCGCCATTGTGGTCTGGTGGAAGGGATTCTTTTGGTCTTGGTATAGACTGTTTTCCAGGTTCATCTGTGTTGGGGACAACACTATCTATACTCAATTCTGTGGACAGAAGTTCATTTGGGATTTCCAACTACCTCGAGGACGAGGACTCCATTTCCAGGTGGCTACCAGTGTGGCTGGGGGAATTGTTGACCCAGTCATAATAAAGTGTATATATATTATATATATATAGTATTAAACCATGCATGCCAATGCATACCATATATAAAACAAATGATTTTCACCAGATGATCCAACCAGAAGATATCGCCAAATTGCCCCCCAGGTTAGCCCTGTTCCTCCAGCTACGCTTTGCGCCTGCCACCATGGACTCGGCGTGTCGCAACGCCGCGGCGGTGGCGCCTACGGCGGTCTTGGACTTCGGGGAGGTGCTGGCCTCGGGAATCCATTGACCAATAGGGATGTAAAGATAGCTACTATAGATATCTATGGTTATGGTTTATTGGTGATTAATGATGGTTGATGATGATTGATGGTGATTCATGGTGATCAATGATTAGTAAGTATACTGTAGTGGTTATGAATTGTGGTGAATGGTGATTAACGATGTAGGGGATGAAATCACATATTTGGGACCATAGAGTGGGGGTGTGAACGGATGATTTGGAAACAGCTGAGTTAATAAGATTTATTGTGTAAATAGTGGAAAGTTTTAGACGCGTCCTGTTGATCCTTCGGTCCTTGGCATGTTTGGGCAGATTTGTTGGAAGTGCAAGCGATGGTGAGGACAACTTCAGCAACGGTACATGGGCCTTGCGCTGTACTTTCGTGGAGGGTCTGAATGACGAGGAGCTCTCTGATTTGCCCTCGAGTGTTTTCAGCTCAGACACTGTCAGTTGGATTTTAGGCCTTTGGCGATGAACGGGTCTCACTTGAGGTCACCGAGTTCAAGGTAGAGAGGGATGCGCCACTGGTCATAGGCACTGAGATGCTGGAGATTGTCCAGTTTGTGTCCAGTTTCTTCCAAAGAATGCTGTTGTCCAGTTTGAGCACCATGGACAGAGCTGGCAGGTCGGCAACACCAAGCGAAGGAGTTGGAACGACTCTTGTCCAAGGCCGCTGGTTGTTTGGAGATATTTGGAGATCAAGTGTGGTAGCTGGGGCCTTGGGGGGTAATCCCCAAGTGAGACCTTTCCAGATTTTCCAGCCAGGCCTCTTCTTGCATGAGCTTCATCTCTCGAGCTCATGTGCAACTGGAGGTCCCCGATGGTCTCCGTGCTGTGCATGTCCAGACGATCCCATGTGATTCCATAGGGAGGAGTTCTGATATGTTGAGAGGTGGGAAACTGCAGCAAAATGGATCCCGGAAGATTGCAGCAACCATAGCTTGGCTGGTGAAAGGTGCAGAGTGGTGCTTTGCTGGCGACAAACATCAGCAACAACCCTGTCTACGTTGTCATGGCCTTAGGGATTCAGTGGGCGTTGCCATCCCAAGTGCTTTCCCATGGCTCAGATATCTCAGGACAAGAAGCCTTTGTCCAGAGGCGAGTCGAGAAGACTATGCCCTAACCAGGCATGGCACGGACATCACAAACGTATTTCTTAGAGCTGACTGCCAATATTCTGGATTCAGATTGAATGAACAGGAAGCCGGACAGTTGCCGGGTTCCAGACTTTTGATTCCCATGCAGTTCATTTGTGGGGGAACATGGGGGAACGGGTTTGGTTGGGTTTCAACATGTTTCAACTCTTCCAAATACATGGCTGCAACCTGCCAGGTAATTAGCTTTGCAAGACTGGATGGAAGTACTCACGTGCTGTTCATTTCCTTTGAGGTCGGGGACAAGTGCTTGCGTTGGGTCATTGATTCCTACTGCTGGGATGCCACAAAACGGAAGAACCATTGAACGGCTATGGGCTCCATCATGGTATGAATATGTATGAATCATGTTTTACGATGTGTTTCATCCCTGGACAAAACGGGGTTGGTCTTATGAATCATACTGCACTGGGGGGTACCCATGTTGGAATCACACCAATCTATGGTGATGTATATGTCTACAATTTCACCCATGTATGATGAAAGATAGCAATGTAATGTATTCATATCATGAATCATGCCTATCATTTTACTACGTCTTTTGATTATCAAAGGAAGTTTAGCTTGAAAACTTCCGATTTACGGACCATGGTCATGGTTAGCATTCCCACCATACCCATCATCCTGTCAACCCCATCATGTCAACCACATCTTCATGTCAACCACCCATCATCAAGCAGTTGGGAAGTGTAACAGTTTGGAAGCGTGTGAATTCACGGGTGAAAACACTCGCAGGCGTGAAACCCTGTCTTTTTCCGGGTAATGTGGCGCAGGTTCGCGGCTCGATCTGGGAAAGTTGTCGACAAAATGCACACACGACTGTAGCGAGAGCTCTATTTGCACTTCCAAAAGGTTTCGAAAAATGACAGGCAAGGAGCACTTTTGGAAGATGAGGTTGGCAAAATGTGCACGAGAGGCAAAATGCGCACGAGACTGTAGCGAGAGCTCGCTTTCGTATAAAAGTCGTAAAAGCTGGCACGTTCGGAGCAGCGCGGAATCAGCCCCATTGCCAGCGCTGCGCGAACGTTGGTCGATGTGGTGTGACGCTCCTGCTATGCGGGTTTGCAACCGGCTGTGACACAACGCATTGGCATGGCTGCGCGGAGCAAAGCATGAGTGATGCTGCGACGCTCCTGGCAAGCGGGATTGCAGTTGGAGGTTGCTAAACGACTTGTAACGGCTGTGTGAAAGGCAGTTCTTGACCATAGTGCTACTCTTGTGCTATGCGGGATTGCAGCTGGAGGCTGCTCAACGTATTGAAACGGCTGCGCGAAGAGAAGAATTGGGTTGCAGAAGCTGCAAAAGAGCTAGCTGGGAGGCAGCTCAGAGCAGAAGTAGCCCAGATACGTGGCTGCTCAGAGAAGAAGTAGCTGAGAGAAGAAGTGCCTCATGCGAAGAGGTCGCTATCCATTCATTCGTTCGTTCGCTCGTTCGTTCTTTCATCCATCCACCATCCATCCATCCCTTCATCCAATGGTTCAAATGAGCCACGGATTCATTGATTCATTGGTTCAGTGGTTCACTGAATCAGTGGGTCACTGATTCATTGATTCACTGTTTCATTGGTTCATCGACTCACTAGCTCACTCGTGCATGGGTTCATTGATCCACTGAATCGCCGGCTCACTGAGTCATTGATTCACTGACCCATTGCTGATTCATCGGTTCATCTAGTCACCAATTCATACACTCATTGGTTTACTGATTCACCGACTCACTAAATCATTCATGCATTGATTCGTTGGTTCACTGTTTCACTGAGTCATCGATTCGTTGATTCATTGATTCACTGAATCATGGGTTCACTGTTGCATTCAGTCATTGTTTTTTATTCACTGAATCATGAACTCATTGATTCATTGATTTACTGATTCATTGATTCATCGATTCATCGATTCGTGGGTTCACTGGTTGGTTGATTCATTGATTCATTCTTCATCGGTTCACTGATTCATCGATTTATTGGCTCATTGCTTCATGGATTCATTTCATGATTGATTCATTCAGTCAGTTGTGCATGGATTTTCTCATGTCTTTTCATTGGCATCTCAATCACCACTTGTTCATTCCTTGATGCACCTCACAACTTCAACCGCCCATAGTTTCTGCATCTCAAAAACGTTCCTATAGGCCATTGATTTCTTATAGCAATCTCCTATTTTCGAAACTTCCGCCCCGGCGCGTGCCAGATACTATCTGGTAGGTGGTACATTGCCATACACAAAGTAGGTATAAATGGATCACCGGCCTATCAATGCTATCATTAAGTATATCTTTCCACAGGGTTTCTGTCCACCATTGGGCGCGTAAAGAACCATCAGGCCATCCTTGTGGATCGATCTGCAGCCAAGACCAAAGCGGTCAGGTGATGGGCCCGATGTCAATGTCTCGTTGGTCGTCCAACCTCTGTTGGTTGATGATTATAGGTGATTATAAACTGGGACTATACTAACCAATATATTGGAGAATATATGAGATATTGGAGAAATTGAAGGCATGGTTTTGAAATGATTTGGTTCAGGGAATTTGGGTTCATGTCAGTTGCATTTTTTGTTCTGAAAATTTGGAATGGCAAAGAATGTGAAGTCGAAGGCTTTTGGAACGGTTTGCGACCACAAACAGTAGATCTCCTTTGGCTAAAACGGCCAATTGTTCTCCTCATGTGCTTGGCGTCAGGAGCAGGTGTCTTGCAAAAAAAATCAGATCTCGCCAGAATCGCAACATGTGAAACATCTAAAACCAATTATTATGTATTGGGAAATATTGGGAATTTGAACGCTGTGGTCAGAACTAGAATCCCTATCCGCATCTATATCCTTCTACGTCCATCGATCCATGAGATGTTTTGATGCGGCTGGACATGCATGGTTGCATTCGGAAATCGCAAACAACAGGCGTGAAGCAGAGAATTGAGTGGATAAATCCCGAAGATGTTCAGAAATTCAAAATTGATTTGGTTCTTAAAACATATATTTTGTTATATTTTATTTAGTTCTTGAATGTTCTTGATGCTGCATGTCGTGTTTTCCTCAACCAATTAATACATGTCCAGCTGTCTGGCTCAGCGGCCACAAAACGCCACGTTCCCAGCCGGGACCTCAGTTGGTTTCACTGCTGAGGGTTTGACTGCAAAATTGATAGTAGTTTGATGTATTTTGGTTTTGGTGGCAATCTCCTGAAATATGTCGTATTTAAATATGTATTAATATAATGTATATATATATAACATTATATAACATTATACCACATATATATATATATGTGTGTGTGTTATGTGTTAAAAGGTGATACCCTTTTCCCATCCCTGAAATTTTGATGGGTAAAAGAAGGGGAAAAAACATGTCAAAACTACCCTCTGGTAAACTAACATAGCTATGGAAAATCACCATTTTTCATGGGAAAAATCCACTATAAATCACCATTTTCAATAGCTATGTTAAATTACCAGAGGGTATGGTTTCCATGAATTTCCAGTGAAGGTGTCCCTGGAATCAATCCATTGGCGAGGCCTTTTCGCGTGATGGACGCGGATGCCGCACAAGTGGTGGATGGCATGGTGAATCTGGGAGAGCTCAAGACGGGCGCGGGTGTGTTGGGGGTGGATGTTTCTTGGTGCATGGTTGACATGTATGATGGTTGGGTATTTTGTACTGTATAATGATCTGTGATATCAATGTATATGAATGATATTATATGTATAATGATAGAATATATACATATATCTGGGTGAATTATAACGACCTCACTGGGACCTCACTGGAAATCATGGTTAATAAGGGGAATCATCCCCAAATGGCCTTAATTCAGGTTAGTGAAATATTATTATTTACCCAGATATATACAATGTATATACGGTTTATCATGGTTCATACTGTTTCATGCTGCTTTGGGTGAGCAGTTCTTCCAAGGACACAGCCGATCTCTTCCACCAAGCTCGCAGGAAGAAGCCCGGGATGCACCTGACCGAAGTGGAGCGACTCCTTCAACAAATTGATCGCGAGCTGGGGCGCCTGTGGGAAACCCTGGCCATCAACAACTACCATCAACTACCATGACTGGGGGGAAAGAAATGCCCAGAGAAGTGCTGATTCCGGAAAAAAATAGAATAAAATAACAATCCAAAAAACAACTGAAAATAATTACTTTCCTTCGAGTTATCCCCACCATGACATCTATACGTTTTGTTACTGGCAAATCTTCTGGCATTCTATCTGACATATCTTCTGGCATTTTTTCTGGCATATCTTCTGGCATTCTATCTGGCATATCTTCTGGCATTCTACCTGGCATATCTTCTGCAATATGTTCTGGCATATCTTCTGGCTATCTGGCATATCTTCTGGCATATCTTCTGACATTCTATCTGGCATTCTATCTGGCAAATCTTCTGGCGTTCTATCTGGCAAACATTCTGGCACTTTATCTGGCATACCTTCTGGCATTCTATCTGACATTCTATCTGGCATACCTTCTGGCATTTTATCTGGCATATCTTCTGGCATTCTATCTGGCAAACATTCTGGCACTTTATCTGGCATATCTTCTTGCATTCTTTCTGGCATTCTATCTGACATTCTATCTGGCATATCTTCTGGCATTCTATCTGGCCGTTGAGGTCCAGCGGTGCACACTGAGCTGGGCAGGTCCCAGGTTCAGGTCCAGCGGTGCACACTGAGCTGGGAAGGTCCCAGATTGAGGTCCAGCGGTGCACGCTGAGCTGGGCAGGTCCCAGGTTGAGGTCCAGCGGTGCGCACTGAGCTGGGAAGTTGGCGGAGAGCTTGGCCAAGAGTTGGCAAGGCGGAAGTTGAGGTGGAAGTTGATGCAGACATGGTCGAGGAGAAACAGGCGGAGGAGAAGGAGGAAGAGGAGAAGAACAACTCTGATAAAATCTAACAACCCTCACCTGGCAGGCGGGGAAAAAACAAATCAGAAAAACAAAAAATAAACAAAGTAAAAACAACTGGAAAACAGAGACTCAACAGAAGACTCAGAAAAAACAACAACAAAAAAATCACAAATAAAAAACAAAAAAAAAGAAACTTTGCGGCAAAATGTTGATTTTGAAGGAAAAACTTGGGAAATCTATTGAACATTGGAAAAAATCAGGAAAATGCAAATTTGAGTCCCGGATTGAGTCGTCTGTTGAGTCTGAATTTGTTTCTTTTAATCGTATTGGAGAAAAAACAAAAATGTTTAAAAACTGAGGAGAAAACTAAACAAGAAAATAAACAAATAATAAACAAAAGAAAACAAAGTTGAAAAAACAAAGTTTTTTTGTGTTTTATTTGTTCATTTTTTGTTGTTTTTTTTCTGAGTCTTCTGTTGAGTCTTTGTTTTCCATTTTTTTGTTATTTTGTTTATTTTTGTTGTTTTCTGATTTGTTGTTTATTTTCAGTTGTTTTTTTTCGTTTTTTTATTTATTTTTCTGTTTTTTTTATTTGTTCCTTGATTTTGGAGTTCTGTGAGGAATTATTTTTTCACAAAATGAACCAGCAATAAACAGCTGGTGGTTTGGGGGATGGAAACCATGGCGGTTTACCGCATGAAACCACCAACTGTGCCTCAAGGCGACGAGCTATCAAGCGAGATGCACCGGCAGCCCGTTTTCAATAGTCGTTGCGTCGCCATGGCGTGTCGTCATGGCGGCATCGGCGAAACCATCCCGTTGACCAACATCATCCCAAAAAGGGGCCGGTATATGCGATGAGAAACTCCGATCGGGGATGGTGACTTTTATTGGGTTTACCACATTATCTCAAAAAATGTGATATTTTGTGATTAGTTTCTAGTTCTTTTTGGAGATTGGAACTAGAATAAGTATTACTACTATCCGTCAATATCCATGTATATCCATGTTGTGGGTATGAATATGAATGGTTGCACCATTTCAACATGACCCCTGCCAAGGAGGATGCCAGAAGGACCCTGGAGTATTGCAAGAAATTTAAGCAGTTGCAGCCACAGCCTTAGCATGTCGTAGTTTCATTTGCTTCGAGAAGCATGGTTTCAGAAGGACTTTTGCACAGTCAGCAAGAAGAGACCAGCACCAGCCAGCAATGACTAGCATGACATGGGTCGTGTTTGTTGCTCAACCCCAAATCTTTGTTGGCAATTTTGTTGGCAGTATCCCCCAATATCCCATAGTTATGAACTCATTAACCAATATCCCATAGCTATTACCCGAAGATCTCCATCATTTCCGACATTTTCTGCGGAAAGTCACCATCGAAGTGCTGGTTCTCCTAGGAACTCCGCGGGCGCGGGTGAGGCGAAGGGTCAGCTGTTGAGACTTATCAACGTGCAGGGCTCGGTGGACTCGTTAAGGATGCTACTCTCATCCGATCCCTTGCAAGCCATATTTGATGGGTTGAAACAAGTTTAGTGTATGATTTATTTATATGTATACAGTATATATATATATCACCTTCTTCGTTGTTTATAGCCCCATGTTGGATCATGTGTGCCTATTGGTTTCCTCCTTTTTCTCAGCGCTGAATTGCATGTTTTTTCTGAGACTTCAAGGTTGAAGGAAAGTATGTGAGGCGCCGTTTTTGCGATTCTTGAACATTCCGGAAGTCATACACTCAATGAATTGGATGATGGGAAAATTTACAGGAAAGCCCTATATGTGATGGTAAAATCTATGGTTTCCTGTAAATTTTCCCTTAAACCAATCCATTGATACACAGTAGCTATGTATCGTAGCTGTTGGGCATCACATCTGCTGCAGGCGGTGCAGAGATTTCGAGGCTACCCAGCTACTGAATCTCATGCCCGTCACAGCGGATGAAGCCAGGAACCGGGCTACATCCACAGAGACAGGTGAACTTGGTTTGTTTGAAAAAATCTGGTGGCCCGAAAAATTGATGGTTGATCAGTTGATCACTGTTTTTCCACGTTTTCCCATGGTTTTCCCATTGTTTTCCCATTGTTTTCCCATGTTTTCCCATTGTTTTCACATGGTTCCCGATGGTTTCCCGTTGTTCCCCCATTTTCAGACACCGTTCGTGCTTGGAGATTTGGGGTAACGGCACCAGTTTCAGTTTCTCCAGGACGCTGATCCCAACGCTGGAGGGCAACCGACATCTGGAGGACTTGGTCAAAGAGTTGAAACCCTTGAAGGAGTTCGACCCTCACGTGGATTAGCCGTGCAAAAAAGGTCGGACCGTGGTACCGGGTAGTACCGTGCCATGGCATGATGGCATGATGGCGTAGCGGCGTGGATGCCATGAACTCCGAGCGTTTTGCGCTCCGATGATCATTGGGTCTTATCTGTGCTCTGCAGCTGTGTTTTCAGAAATTCACGAGGGCTTGAACAAGAGACAGCTCAGAATTAGCCACGGGTGGGCATGCCATGTCGGGTCACGTGGGATACCAGACCAAGCCAGCCTTCCACAACCACAAAACAGAAAACCAATCAAGACCGCTCCATGCCCGCTTTGCAAACCTGACGTCCCTTGAAATCAAAATGATAAGTTCATAGCAGGGCCTTTTTTCGCAAAGCTGATGAGCTGGTGTTTCTTTGGTTCAAATCCTTGGGATTTGAGCAACACTTTACCAATCTGGATTTTTTTCACCAGACGCAATCCATTGAGACGCCATGGATTGCACAGCAGCGCCACAGGTCATTGAGCCACTCGAAATGACCACCCAGATTGTGCTGTCGCGACACATTACACATTTTTACTTTGGGATCTTGGAACTTTGCTGACTTTGCTGACTTTGCTACACAGCATCCCGGGTGAACTTTTTCTGGATCCCGTTGTCGGTCCAACGCCATGGGCATGATATCTGGGCCATGATCTCTGAGGCACCTGAAGGAACCGCTGAACTTCACACCCTTCGATACCAGATGGGTGCCACAAAGCGTCGCAGACTCAGCTCTCGTCGACGGACGGTAGTGCTCAATTTATTTCAAAAAGGGCTGGTATTTGGGATCCTTGATGCGTCTGAGATTGGGATGGATTTACATCATTATATCATATTATATCATGTTACAGCACACAGACACATACGTAATTATATATATACAATATTATACAGATATATACAGATTATGTGTACAACATCATGTTTGGATCTGACCATCCAACTGTCCCTTGGCATTTTGAAATAACCTGAGGCCCGCTTCGTGGTTCTGGGACAATATCCACGGGCCACGGGATGCATTCGCGTTTGTCAACTGTGCGGATGGCATGTTAACTGGCTACAGATTGATCCCCAAAATAGTTCTGTTCCAATGTGTAGCGTGTGGTTCCCATATTCTGTTGGTTATATGTTATACTGTAATATATATATATATATACAGAGAGTTATATCGTTATATAATATATAGATATGAAGACGACTAACTGAATGGCTTGCCAGGAACAAGGGCAAATGCGAGAAGTTGGTGTTGCTCCAAGATTGGCAAAGGGTTGTCACAACGAAAGAAGGCCGAAACTTGAGACTCAGAAACCAGCAGACAACTGATGAAACTGTGTGTCTGAAAATATGTTAAAGCCATAAACATAATTGTGAAAAATGAAACAACTGGTGATAAATCATGAAATGGGGTATCCCATTTCAAGACAAACCCATATTCCTATATGGTTCCTCTTGTCCAAGCGTTGGGGAGTCCAAGTTTGACCCAAGGCCGAGACTGAGCAACCGAAAGGCTTCAAATGTGGAACCTTTGGAGCCTCCTCCATTGAGGTCCGCAGCTGCAGGGCTGATCGTTGGGCTGATCATGGCTGATCATGGCTGATCCGTGGCTGGTAGGATCGACATCTGGCCACTGGCGACTACGTGGGGGGTTTGGCGATCTGGGACTTGGAGAACATGAAGAAACCCATTTGGAGCCGCGATCTGAGCATGGTGTGAAAAATATAAGAGAATGGGCATTCAATAGACAAATATTCAATAGGAGCGTTGCATGTTTTTGCTGATTCTTCCTTTCCTGCTGATTCTGCAATCATCAGTTCCTTTATGTTCCTTTCAGGACTCAGCAATCCTACCTCGGATGGATTGAATCGCTCACTTCCAAAGACCACTTAGGTGTGAAGGGTCATGACCTCATTGTCAATGCCATCGATGGCTGTGGAGGTGCTTTAAATGACATCAATGGCCTTGTCAAGCGAAAGTGAGGGGTGCTTTGGTGACCAATTTTCCTGGATTCTTGCATATTGGATTCTTACATCCCAACATGGGATGTAGAACTGTATAACCAATTTATAGTGAGATAACTTGATATATCCATTAAATATGGAAATGATCATAGGAAAATCATGAGGCTAACATGGACATCTCCCAACATCTCCCAACATATCCCAACGCATCCCAACAACCCAACAATGCAGTCGCAGTCGTGAAAGGTTTGAAGCTGCCTCAGTTTTTTTCGTAAAACACGTCAGGCCTGGGCGTTGGCAGCGGTGCTCCCGAGCTCGTCACTGGTAGCAGAGATGGCACTGTCCGGGCTGGAAGCTCAGTAGATTCACAGGGTGAACATGTGGAATTGCAAAGTCATCTGGTTGATGATCTCAAATTTGATTTCCAATCTAATTCTATTTCCCAAAAATCGGCGGATGATTTCTGATATGATCTGATATGATATTTCCATATATTTCCCACTTCCATACGTTATAGTTTTCAGGATGGACGGTGAAAGGATGTGAAAAGCCCAGTGTCACCAGGTCTGGGACCCGCGCACAGAGGATCCGGTGTTGTCACTGGAGCCGGTCGAGGGCGAGACCCCAGCGGATTGTTGGACCGTGGCCTTTGGGAACTCCTACAACGACGCGGAGCGCTGCATTGCGGCAGGACGGCGCTGGATGGGAGATGTGTGGAGATTTCAGATGTTGGTTCCCAGAAAAATTGGGCAACAACAGTAAAGTGATGTAAAATGTGCTGAAATCATCTCAAATCCGGCAAAAAAGGGGAAGTATCTTTTGGATCTTTTGGCCACGGCTTCTCCATTTTGGTTGTTGCTGGACTCGACCATTCAGGATACGACAATGGGGATGTGAAGATTTTTGATTTGCCCGGTGCCTGTGTAGCTGGACCATCCGAACCCCTGACCATGGCCATCCGAATCTCGCCCCCAGCGGAAGCGTGGCTGAGGCGGACCAATACCTTGAGATGGGACACCAACGTTCGCAATGGAGTCTGCCACCTGCAGTTTGCTGGGAACTGAGTGGCGATATTTGGTGCCATATGGATCCTATGGGTATGGGTCAATACCTATAGATACATTTTTAGTGGGATGAACATCCATTTACCAGCTATTTTGGGGTTCACCAGGTACCAGGGTTTTGACCCATCCCCATATATGATGTATTATAAACTACAGTACATGTCATAGATGTGTATAGTATACTGTATTTCCTAACTGTACAGCAGAATGCTGCAGCGCGAGGATCGAAAGGACATCCGGATGAACAAGTTGGGAGCATCGACCTTAGCCGTTTTGTGGATAACAACACTTCAGCCACTGCAACAGACTCCACCCATCAGGTGTCAACCCTGGAGTCAACTCTGGTGGTCTACGACCTGCGAACGTTCCAGCCTTGAAAGATTGTTTTGCATCTGCGACAGATCCACTGATCTAAGGATACAATTGTTACAACATTCCGCAAGAAACCAGGGTAGAAGCACAAGCTCATCAACCCAAGTTCGGCATTCTTCCCGTGATCCATCAGAACTGTTCCATATATGTTGTGACAAGATGAACAACTTCGAAACCTACACCAGGTATCATCCGACCGAGGGATTTGCGGGTAGGAAGGAGAAGGCACACTCTCGCTGTCAGTGCTTGTGCTTTGCAGGCAGTTTTTTCTGTTTCGATGTGCCGTGTTCCGGTCAGCTACTCGCAAGAGTCCGGAGGTCTCTGAGTCTTTGTCTCTCAAATCGTAAGTCCTTGGGATGAAAAGTCCCTGTGAATCCCTGTGACTTTTGCGGCGCTAGGTGACCAAGAGTACTCTGTGGGGAGCACACTTCCTTCCTCAGAATCGTGAAGTCTTTGCTTCCTGTGGTGGCAATGGTACCATCACTCTTTTCAAGTATGGAGCCCAGCATTGGACTGAGATTGATGTTGTGCTCCATTTGACAAGATGCATCAAGGTACTCCTACCCAGAAGAAAGGTCGATCAAGGACAAGGAAGGCATTGAGTGGTGACCCCAGCAATCAAAACACATTCAATATCAATATTATATATATAGTTCAATATCCTTCAATGGTGTTCAACATGGTTCAACCATATTTTCTTGACGACTAAATGACTAAATTATTCATATGTGACTGTGCATGATATGTTTATCATACATTATCCCATATTTATACGAGATGATGTTCATATACATACATTATACCTGCCCGGTTAAAGCACCAGCGGCCCTGACTGAGGCGCGGTGTCGCCGGCACCGTGGAGATGTTAAACCAAAAGGATGGGGGGCGAATCCCAATGGTTCAAGGGAAAAACCATCTGCATTTGGATGGAAATATGTGGGATCTTTTAGCAGAAAAAAATTCCCTTGAATCAAGTCAGAGAAGGGCAGTCTCCACGGTCAGAGCGCACTCTCGATGAATATTGAATATATATATATATATTGAATATATTGCTGGATCATGGGGGTCTACAGGAACTCTCAACACAGCCGGTGATCTCATTCGTCGGATCCTCATGGCGATGTGGCGAGAACATTCGTTGCTGAATTCAGCGGAGCAGCGGCGCAGCAAAGCGCCGAGAACTGAGGACTGGCACATGAACAAGACAGGCCTCTGTGTCTTTGCATGTCTTGATCAGCCTCGACCTTAGCCGCTTAGCCCCATCTTGACATTGACCTGGACAGCTTTCGAGCTTTGGACCTAAAAGCTTCGTCTAAAGATTCAGTATTGGTTCATATTGATTCACTGAGCTCTTGGCTGGTGATTCGTGGCTCACCACTGAGCTCTTCGATGCTCTTCGCTCAGGACCTGCCGTGTGGCCATTTGCACCAAGCCTGGAGCTGAGCCTCTGAGCCTCTGCATGTTGTCTCAGTGGCGGTGATCCATTCGTGGCCCTTCGGCCTGAGGCTTCATCTGTACTGAGAGGATCAGCTGCGCTCAGAATCTGCAAAATTTCGAACTTCCAAAAGTTGATAAACTTTTCCATCCCGGCATTGAACCTGATCATTCCACAGTTCAACTATTTTGGATTCTGAGAGAGATGCAGCAAACGCTGCCTGGTGACTCTTGGCAAACGTAGATCAGGGTTGCTTAGCCTCTCTATGTGCATGTTCTGCATGAAGCAGCTATTAGTTCGCTGCCAAATGTCAAAGACCCGGACCGTTGAAAGGATGAGCTCTAAGACGGCGTCGGAAAAAGCTCCGAAATGACATGGAGATACCAGGTGGCTGTTGTTCCAGGAGAAATGGCATCCAGATAGATCCAGATAGCAGATAGTACCAGAAGGTGATGATCGTGGCACTATGCATATGTCCTCAGGCGTTTTGCCTCCAGAGTCAACTCTAGGCTTGCGGGCTGCGGCCTGAAATAGGTTTAGCATGTTTTAGCATAGTTTCAGCAAGTTTTAGCCCACCTCAGTTCTTTTCCAATGTTGTTTTTGCTCATCAGAATTGCAACGGGCCCAGAAAAAGGATCCATCGAAGCTGAAAATGACGAAGTCGCCCAACTGGGCCAACTGCATCTTTTTGCATCTTTTTGCCACGCAAATTCTCCAGCAATGCCGAAGTCGCCCAAGTCCTCCCCGAAGAAGTCGCCGAAGTCGTCACCAAAGAAGGCGAAGGCCAAGGCAGACGCGGCGGAAGCGCAGGAGCCAGAGCCCGACCTTCCCCAAGAAAAGGCGGGCAGGGGCCGGGGTTCTGCTGGATGGTTTGGCTCATGGCGTTTGGAGTGTTTGGATGGTTTGGATGGTGGATTTTGGTTGCTTATAGTTGCTTATAGTGGCTTATGGTTGCTTGTGAAAAGATGCAGCAAGTACAGAGCACTTGGTCGGAACATGTAATTATGCAGTTTGCGAGATGTCACAAAGCATTTTCTCATCGTGATAGCCAGTAGGCACAGATTCAAATGCCCATACTGCGCCACATGTCCGAGTGAAAACAAGTCCTTTGCCTGGGGAGCTTCGCCGTCTGACATTACTGTCGTATCTATAGTTGATAGTTGGATGATTCATGATGCTTGTTTGATGTTGTTTGGTGGGTAAGTGGCGGTTGATGCTAAGCTGCTAAATATCAACAATGGAGATCAGCCAGGAGCGCGTCAAACCGAGCATTGCCGTTTGCCTCAGCTCTGGGCCCGTGACCCAGACCCCTTTGAAAAATCCCCCCACTGCTGGAGGGCAATTGGAGCGGCTGAGGCGCACAATACATCCTTCTTTGGTGGGAGGAGTTATTAGCAGACATCGTCCTGCGCTGGCAGCCCTGCTCTTAAAGTGCCAAAAATGCGCTACAGTGGACTAAAACCAAATTTTCATGGAGTCTAGAAAATAGCTTGATTGATGAGGAACCACCATCACACACCATCCCTATATCAATTGCTTCAGAAAACACCGTGAGGCCTCTTGCTCACGGCTGTTCGCTCCATGTGGCCATTTCGCCACGGTGCACTACGCTAGAGCCTCAGCCGCAGTGACGTGGCCAGTAGCATCCAGTGGCAACTGCGGCAAGGTGAAAAGTCGACGAACACAAGTGGCACTGGGGCCGCATCAGGGGTATGTCACTGCTGTGTGCGCAGGCCTGCGTGAGACATGGAGAGACTGTTCCTAGATCTTCCTAGGATTTCTCACGGCCCTGAGGGTGAAGAGAGATCCCAGATGAGCTGCCGATGTTTGCTGATCCACATTGTTTTCAATGAGCCATCAGAGATCTGAACATCAACTCTTTGGGGTTTCCCATGGTTTCCCAGTTTCCCTGCGTGCTGTTTCAGGTTCAAAGCAACCTGACTGTGCAAACCCTATCGCAACAGGGTCATCGCCCAGAGCCCAGCCTGCTGGTCGTGTTCTTTTCGGAGCGCTGCGGAAGGTTATGAGTGTCTTGATGTAGCATCATACTGAAGCAGTGTTTTATATAATTACATATATCATTTATATATATATGCACATTATATATATATATATAATAATAATATATACACATAATATGTATATATATATAACCACCACCCCTTTAAGGCCACTTTTTAGGGGACCATACCAAAATGTAAACTACATTTTTGGGACCCCCCTTAAATGTAAAATTGTTTGCTGAACGTCCCCCAGGTGCCGTTTTTGTGGGGAGGGTCCTCAAAATACCTTGAAAAATGTAGCTTACATTTTGGGTACGTCCCCCCTCCTTAGAACTGTGGTGATTGTGTGTATATATATAATTAATTCATTAATTATATGTGTAATTATATGTAGGTAATATATATATATACATATACATATACATATATATAATACATATACATATACATATACATATAGGTATGGTATGGTATGGTATGGTAATGTTATGTATGGTAATGTTATGTATGTATGTATGTATGTATGTAATGTAATGTAATGTAATGTAATGTAATGTAATGTATGTATGTATGTATGTATGTATACAGTATGCATAATTTGTCCATACATTACATTACGTTACGTTACGTTACGTTACCTTACATTATATACATTACATTACGTACACACATATACACATATACACATATACACATCTACACATATACACATACTCATACACACATATATACATATATATATACATATATATATATTGATATCATATATCATCATGTAATATCTAATGATATCTTACAGTATTTAACATTGCTATTTGTCGCTGATGTGTGATTTTCCACCCAGGTCTGGGGAGCTTTGTATTTGGAACGGCGCAGGTGGGAACCGCCTCCCGCGGCTCCATGTCGGATTGCGCGTCTGCGTTCTGCAGATGCTGCAGGTTACCAGAGATTGGCCAAGATCAATGTGGGGCATCCGGTGCTTCCAGGGACGAACCAGTCAAGCTAGGAAGCTATGAATACGTCATAGAATTGAATAGAATTCATTGAAGTTTTTCTCAGATCAAGCAATTCTGCGTGATACAGTGGATGGAAGAAATCCTGCACCACCAAAAGGATGGTTGAAACCCTATAAACAATGGGATAAACCATCTATCAACTGGTGCAGGATTTCTTCCATCCACCGTAGCAGTGCTTGAATCAAAACGCACCAGGTACTCGCCATTCACTGGCCAAGTCCGGGCAATATCATCGTGACGTTGGGCCAGCACGGCGGCGAGGCTTGGATGGAGCGAATCACTGGGTCCTCACTGGACACGATCGAGCCCTTGCCTCAGGGGAGGAAGGATGAGACCATTTACCCTCTGGTTATGACTAACATAGCCATGGAAAATCACCATGCTATTAATAGGTAAACCATCTATAAATGGGCCATTTTCCATTGGTTATGACTAACATAGCCATGGTATAGATGGCCCATAGAAATAGATGGTTTACCAAGTTTACCTATTAATAGCATGGTGATTGTCCATGGCTGTTGAATAACCAGAGGGTAAATGAAAATCTGCATTACTTACTATGTAGCGGAGAGTGTAGAGGTTCTGCATTTTAAGACTTGTTGAAAAATTTGTTCTTCAGAAATGTTGCAAAACAATGAATGGTTTCTTCGCCTCTGAGGAAAAGCGAAACCTTGCCTCTTCGTGCAAAGAAAGCCGGTCCCAGTGATGTGTTCGATGATGTCGCGGCGCTTCTGGACAACAAGGCAAGTGTTGACACCCAAGTGGCGGCCGATGGCAGATTGATGGGCACTTGCAGTTTGATGCGCAGCAGTTAGCAAGTCACCTTTCTGAGGGTGTCAAGAATCATGAAATGGGGTTTTCCATTATCAACCATCCATTTTGGGGTACCACAAATCATGGAAACCCCCCAAAGAATATAAAGAATTAAAGGGACATAATTCACAATGTGACCACTTGCATGGCACTTGGACTGGCAGGAGCTTTGCCTGTGGGTGGAAGGTTGGAGCGCCCCTTTGAGGCTCGAGAATAACAGTCCAGCTGCTGTTGCTGTTTGCAGTTGTTGCGGCCACAGTGAGTGCATATTTGGGTTGTAAGTCTTATGTAATTATACAAAACTTGAGGTAACTTGAGGCTGCTGACAATAGTGACCATCAAAAACAAGATCTGTGAAAACGTGCATTTAGGTACTCAAACTCCCGCACAGCCACAGCGGTTGCCATCGATCCTCTCAGGAGACCTGGGATGGCATCAGGATTCCATTGAAAGTGAAACTTTGGGTGGATATTGGGGTCGATTTTCATACCCAAAAAGAGCTCCGAAAGTGAACCTATATTCAGACTTTAGTATACTTTGGTGACTAAAGTGACTAAAAGGCAGAGAGACACAGACCCAAGGCGACCTACTCGTAGTGCTGCAGGAGATATGTTGCGGTGGGCGAAGCCGGTGGGGTCGTGCGGATTTGGTCGTGGCCTTGGGTGAAGCCAAGCAGCACAGCTTCGGATTTCGTCGATCCTCGGTGTCCTCAGGTGGGGTGCTTTGGATGGAGGTCCCGTGGAGCATCTGGTGCCAGCTCGATGGCAGTGGCATGTCCTCCTGGCAACTTTGGGAAGTCGTGAACCGGGCCACAAGCATGGCGAAATGGCAGAAGAGAGTTGAAACCGAAGGAGTTTCATAAATGGCGACCAGGAGATGTCAAGCCATGTCAAGCCCCAAAAAACAACTTTATATTGTTTGGGGTTCCCATGATTTTGACCCACCCAAAGCAACACCGAATTTTCTCGCAAAGCGCATGCCAGTCTGGTCCAGTCCGTGCTTTGGCGCACAGTGGACCATTGCTTCTGAGTGCCGGAGATGAAGGTGTTCTGTGCATCCGGAACCAAGAGGACTCGTCTATTGCCCATCCAGTGCCATTGAGCAGTGTTCAAAACCCTTGTTGGTTGATGATTATAGGGGGTTATACTACTCAATCTACTGGTGTTTATCATAATCTGATAATCAATCCATTGTAACATTCCCTATTGACATCGATAAACGCCAAGCATCATAATGGAATGGCAGAGGATTTTGAACACTGCTCCACTTAGTTGGTGACTGGAACATTACCATCCAGTTATCAAAATTTGTTTTAAAAAAAATCAGACCCTTGCCGCAGGATGAAACGACAAACTTCATTCCCCGCTTTTCAAGCGGTTTTCGGCATCTTTGCGTCCCGCACTCATCCGCACTCAGCATCTCACAACGGTTGATACGCTGCCTGTATGTATGAAATAGGTCATTTGTCAACACGACAAAATCAACCTTGGTGTCATATAGATTGATATCGTAGATATATCAACGCTTGTTCATCACATTTTATCAGTGTATAGAACAAACAGCCTGACTGCAGGTTTCCTCCGATGGAAACCTGATCACGTGCAGCCTGCAGGAGATATGGGTTTGTCTGAAAGTGTCGTCCAATATTATTGATGGCTAAGCTATACTAGTAGTATTTCATAGTATTCCCCATGATGATATTTCTTGATATGTCTTGCATTTTATTGCCATTTTGGCGTAATTCTACGGTACACCCCATTTTCAGACACACCCATATAAATCGCCGTTTGGGTATTTGGGTATGTCTCAAAATTGAAGACCCACAAAGTCATCGTTTGCTGATCCAAAATTGGGGCATGCTTTGAGCACGTTCGATGCTTGGATTTCAAAATTGAGACTCGCAAGCCTATTTGAATTGGACATGAGGTCAGCAGTTTGTACGAGTTCTGAACTGTATTGTTGACTGGAACTGGCAGTGTGTCAAAACCTTGTACCCCTGTAGTGAACATCAAAATAGCTGGGATTTATGGATGTTCATCCCACTAAAAATGTATCTATAGGTATTGACCCATACCCAACTGTTGAACTATTCTTGAACTGTTCAGTTTGTAATCTCTACGACCCCAAGTTGTGTTGGACTTCCTACATCATTACGATAGCTGTTGCCAGTCGGAGAGCCACGGCGAGTCGGCATCGCTCTGGCTCCAGGACAACTCAATTGCGCTGCTTGAGACTCTTCATGGGAGAGTCAGGCTGGGAGTGACTTGTACCCTCTGGTAATTTAACATAGCTATTGAAAATGGCCATAGAAATAGTGGATTTACCCATTAAACATGGTGATTTTCCATAGTTACGTTAAATTACCAGAGGGTAGATCTTGTAGCTGTGTGAGAGCTGTTAGTCACAGCAACGCTGTGATCCTCAGTGGTTTTCAGTATGCTTTCAGCCCCATCAGGCAGCTGGTTCTCCACTTTCCGATAAATCCGTGCTGCACGCCACAGGCCGAAATACATTCGGGGCATCGATCACTCTCTTTCTGAGCCTTTGGCTCGTGGAAAGCTCAAGATGTTTGGAACATTTTGGAACTGTATCACAACCTACGACTCTACGACTGAATGTTGTTGGAGCGGTCAAAGAATGCTGTTGCAAAAAAATGCTTCATCACACTAGACTGTCGAACAGACATCAAATCCCTTGCTTTGTTGGGTGACACTAAAGCCTCAGGACAAGGCCGAAAGCGCAAAGTGGACTGGTCACGAGACAAGGATCGAAAACGGGCCAAAGGTCAGCCCGTTCGACTCCTTCACTCCTTGGAAGGCAGCTGGATGCTGCTAATTGTCGGAAACGAAAATGTTGAGGAGATCTCAGGAGGTGATGAATGAGAATGATGGGTATTGATGGGTTATGCAAACGAGAAGGGAGGGCGATTTCATGGGATTTCAATGGCTTTCAAGTAGCTGAGAGTAAATCTGGATACCAGTGGCACATCAGAGGAGCGGAACCTGGTCACCTGACATGTGCTGGAAATTGTTGCGGAGTTCGGAAAAAATGCCGAGTAGGCCGAGTAGAATTTGTTGATCCTTTGAAAGTTACATCGTCAAATCATATATAAATATTATATAATATTATAAATCATCAAATAAATCATCATCACATTCTTGATATATTTCATAATGGTCATGAAATAAATCATCAAATGTCCCATTCGTCGTATCCCCTTCTGAAAACCCATCGCCCGTTGCCGGTCAACCCCCAGGCGGTCTGGTGGCCGCCTCCTTTGGTCGCCGCGTGACGTTTCTGAAGGGCCCAGAGGAGCCGGAGCCTGGAAGCCCAGGGGTAAACCTACGCAGCCTGAAAAAAATGGTTGATTTTGATGGGTAAACCATGGTAAACCAACGACAATAGGCCTATTAGTAGTCTATTAGTAGTCTATTAGTAGTCTATTAGTAGTCTATTAGTCAGGAATATGATTAACTATTATTTGACTATTATCCAGCCAAAAATGTGGATGAACTAACCAATAATATCCAATAATAACTATTAATGGATATGAACAATGGAATTTTCATAAATATAAGCAGAGAGTTTCAAGCCACAGAATTTTGGGAGGTTAAAACCTAGTTATTATGGCTATATATCCACCTACAACTGGAACTGCACTTTCAAGTATGGAATCCTATGGAATTTTCGTTTAAAGATCAATCTCACAATGATTTTTTGGCCATTTTCGACATAGTCAAAAGATTGTGGGATATCTACACTACATATATCATCATATATCTATCCGGATCTCCTTTTGCTGTATGTTTCTGGATGTCTAGAGGATTTGGATCCCAAGGCCACAGGATACCTTTGAACTTCATCACAGAGGCCACAACAGCGATCCCAGGCATTGCTGGGTGCGGCCCTAAGGGCGGTTGTTTCAACCGGGAGTTTCTGCGAAGAGATGCTATGCTGCTGTGCCAAAGTTTTTCCATGTTATCCCCAGAAGCTTGGGTCCTTTGGTGATTTTGGATGACTTTGGATATGGATTTTGTTTGGAAAACCTGTGGGCCGAAAAATTGGATTTGCGATGTGGTGGTGATTGTGGTCGAAAAGTTCCTGGCTCTCAGAAAACTTCATCTATCTTCATCTTATCTTCATCGAATCTCAACATTCAACACAGGGTCAATCATGGGTCAATCATGGGTCAATCCCATTCCAAACCTCATCCAGGGGGGGGAGCTGATGGGCAGCTGATCTCAGGGGTCAGTCTGAGGCTATACAACAACTGGCCTTCAGTTCCAGTGGATCTTGTATCATGACCGATGGCCGGCGACCGGCGGGATTTTTTTAAGAAGGCTCAGGTTATTTTCCATAGAATTTCCAATCCAGTAAATCCATGTCCAAAATTGTCCAAAGTGCTGGTTGAATGGATTTTACATGACTTTACTATTGGATTTTATTGGCATCCTACGATTCAAAAGGATAGAGGTTTGGGGAGAGTGAGGTGATGCAAATAACCAAGTCGGTAAGCCCCTCCGGTCCAAGTTGTTGCTTCGCCAGGACATGCGAAGGTCGCATATCTCCAGCACTGGAGGACTTCGACCCTTCCTCTGTCTCTGAGCTTTTGCCAAGTTGGGTATGGATCCAACATGGTCCGAGCATGTCAAACCTATTAAAAAGTATCCATTCAGAAATGGGAACTAAAGGTGAAGGTGATCCCGTCAATACATCTATGCACAAATAATATGTGCCTATTCACATCATCATCATCATCATCATCATCATCGTCATCATCATCGTCATCGTCATCATCATCATCATCATCATCATCATCATCATCATCATATACACATTATCATTATGATCATTATTATTATTATTAGTATTATTACTATGGTGTTTTTATCATAGGTGAATAGTTGCTATAGGGTTATACATAATATATATATATACTATTCTATCGGGTCACCCCCACATATTTACATATATATTTTATGTAATTATAGTATATATATAATATGTTATCCGGGTCACCCCCATATGTTTACATATGTATATATATATACTATCTTATCGGGTCACCCACACATACACATATATATATATACTTTAAACCCCACAACGCTTCCACTCAGCTATCACAGCAGCAACAGCAGCTGAATTGGGATTTGAGTGGATTTTTTCAAAAATTGGGATGATCGGGGTTCCTTAGAACGCTCGCTACCGGTAGTGAATTGGGGTTTGAATTGATTTTTTCTAAAATTGGGATGATCGGGGGCCCTTAGAACGCTCGCTACCGGTAGTGAGTGTTCTAAGAGGGAGCGACGGTCGCTCCCTGTTAGAACGCTCCCTAAGATAGATAGTGTTCTAACAGGGTGCGACGGTCGCTCCCTGTTAGAACGCTCGCTACCGGTAGTGAGTGTTCTAAGAGGGAGCGACGGTCGCTCCCTGTTAGAACGCTATCTATCTTAAAAGCAGCAATTATACATATGGATGATTGGGGGGCCCTTAGAACGCTCGCTACCGGTAGTGAATGGGGAATTCTTTCAAAAATTGGGACGATTGGGGTTCCTTAGAACGCTCGCTACCGGTAGTGAATGGGGAATTCTTTCAAAAATTGGGACGATTGGGGTTCCTTAGAACGCTCGCTACCGGTAGTGAATGGGGAATTCTGTCAAGAATTGGGATGATGGGGAGCAATTAGAACGCTCGCTACCGGTAGTGAATGGGTAATTCTGTCAAAATGGGTAATTTTTGAAAAAAGCCGGCTGTTGCTGCTGTGATAGCTGAGTGGAAGCGTTGTGGGGTTTAAAGTATATATATATATGTGTGTATGTGTGGGTGACCCGATAAGATAGTATATATATATATACATATGTAAACATATGGGGGTGACCCGGATAACATATTATATATACTATAATTACATAAAATATATATGTAAATATGTGGGGGTGGCCGGATAGCATAGTATATATATATATATATTATGTATAACCCTATAACAACTATTCACCTATGATAAAAACACCACAGATTAGTATTATTATTATTATTTATAATACATACGGATGTGTGTGGGTAATTCATAACCATTCTGATAGCATTAGCATCGTGTGACAGCCGGCTCGCCACGAGGCCTTTGGCTGTTTGGTGAAGTGGTGGCGACGAGATGCAGCCGGGGAATACATCCTGGACAGCATCTCGAACAATCCGCACCACGCCGATGCTCGAGAGCCCAGGGATGCACAAATGATCTGCAAATAACGATAGAAATGGAAGGCATGGAATACTGAGGGTGAAAAAAGGCAGCTTGCCGAAGGTGCAGATTTTCACTGCCTGTGTTCTATGGGCAGTGTTTTCTTGATGTCGCCTCTAGGTGGGTGGGTTTCCAACCACTCAGGTCACAGTGGGAATCTCAAATCCTGCGGAAGAAACGGTGTTCTTCACCGCGTCGGCACACTCAGATCAAAGCCTTGATCCGAGTGACGCATCCTGGGGAAGCCTTGGGTAAGCCTTGGATGGCGAATGAGACACTCCGAGTGACCCGATGTGGGGCTTCAGGGTCCTGATTTGAGGTCGCGAGATCGACATTTCAAAATTTGGGATCACATCGAAGCACCTGGCGCAGGGACCTCAGTTTATTTCGAGAGCTGAAGGGAGATGACGGTAGTAAAGGGAGGAGGTGAGCCTCAAAAAGAAATGATTGGTTAATATCGGTTATTGATGGTTATTGATGATTATTGGATGTAATATGATGATATTGTTGCTACTTGTGAAGTCTTTGATCAAAACCATGAATGGTACTGTACTGTATATGGTATCTGAATGGTAAGGGATGAATATCCATTGCTTCAATTTGGGACCCACGGTGGGCGAGTTACCCTGTTACCCTAAGGCTCCACAGACGGAGGAAGGTCAGACGAAGAAATGCTGGTCTGGAGCTGAATCAAACAACGTCAAACATGTCAAACATGTCTAACCCCCCAAAACAAAAACATAATTGGATGGTTTCATATTGTGTGATACCAGAATTGACCAACTTTTTTTGGAGCCCATTGCGAGTGTTTGTTCCTTGCCTTGTTTAAGCCATAGCCATATTCATCATATTCACAAATGGGGTACAATGGTGACAATAAATGATATTAAATGATAGTGAAGTCTGAGAAAAATGACCCACAAAAACGAATGTATCGACGTATCGATAATTTGGAAATCCTCAAGCCATCGGAGGCAATGCGTGGCTGCCGGGCAATGGCGCAGCCCCATGGTCTCAGGCTGCTTCAGCCAGGAACTTGGAGTTGGAAGCTGTTTGAAACCTGTCTCAAGCCTATGCGAAGTGGATTCCCATGATGTTCCAATGGATCAGGTCCTGATGGGAGTGTGGTGGCGGCCGGCGTCAAGGGCAAAATCCTGCTGATGAAGGTGGGGGATGGTGGGGTTTTTGGGGGGCGAAGGATGTGGGAATTCAGTGCAAATTGCAGGGCGGAGAAATGATGAAATGAATTGAAATGATATTACCCTCTGGTTATTTGTCACATAGCCATGGTATAGATGGCCCATAGAAATAGATGGTTTACCTAGCTATAAAATGGGGATTTTCCATGGCTATGTTAGTCATAACCAGATGGTATATAATATATATATATGATGGAGTCCGGCACTTTGAAGTCGGCTTCGAGCACTACAGCTGTGGTGAGCTCTTAGACAGCTCTAAGTTGGCCACACATCGTCAGACGCGCAGGCTGAAGATGGAGAAGTCACAGACCAGTTGCGCTTAGAGGCACCGCCTTGGTATCACCTGTGGCGCGTGGATGAACGACTCATGAATGATGGGAATCCGAAAGGTCCCAGGGGTCCCAGAAGTCCCAGAGGTCCCATGAAAAGCATATCACAGAAAAAATCTGATTTGGGACAAAGACATGTTTTTTTGGGCGCAAGTTTCTCAGAAAAATGAGGCCTCAGACACGCCAAAGCAACTGTACAGCGTTCAGTCCTCAACTCCGATTGTCGCGATGACTCAGATGTGCAACTTGAAAAGTTTTTAACATACCCTCTGGTAATTTAACATAGCTATTGAAAATCACCATTTTTAATGGGTAAATCAACTATAAATAGCCTTTTTTAATAGCTATGTTAGTTTACCAGAGGGTACTTGACTTCATACTTATCAAGTTACTTGAATTCGTTGCATACCGTGGCCTACCGTTGCCATTGGCAGGTTGTTTCCCATGCCTTCTTGCTCCTCGCTTGTGTGGGGAACTTGGCATCTTACATCATTTTAGGGGATGATTCCCCTTACTAAATATGATTATAGTGAGGGATTTTAGATAATTGTGCATCATTTTACATCATTTTACCACGCTCACTGCGGGTGAGTTTTTTTCGGTGAGATGTTCGCAGTGTTCGTCAGCAGCTTTCTCAGGTCGAGGGAGCCAAGGACGAAATCGTTTGTTGGGACTTGTACTCCTTGGAGGTCCTCACGAAGTTAGACCTCACCACGGCCCTTCCAGGTGCCCTTGGATGGTGCCTTTTTGGATCCGGGAACGAAACATGGAACGATAAACTGAACACTGCTGAACACGACATCATGGATTTATCATGGATTTATCATGGATTTATCTGGATTATTATACTGAAACCCTTGGATGAAACTGATGAAAGACGCAATTCAAACATCTATACAAGATAAATCTTGCGAACGGTTTAGCAGCCGAACAAGAACAAGAAGCCACGCAATACCAGGAACGCACGATGAACGAACATTCACCGGCCAACCACTAGTTACAGCTACAGAGGATGGAAGGAAACGTGAGATGAAAGTGGTGCATTTGGGAGACAACATGGATTTCTGGGTCCACCTGAGCCTGTATCAAAGTCAAAGATCAATATGGTTTTTCCTCAAAGTGTGAATATATAATTCGGTATAATCATGTATATCCGTTTACAACGATTTATTGCATATCAAATTTCAGTAAGATTCAGTAAGCAGCAAGCGCCCCTGAAGTGTTTCCAGGCCAGGGAAGTTTAGAGATGCGCTGCTCGCAACTGGAGATGTTGGTCTTCCGTTCTGGGGAGGCGCTGCGAGGAAAACAGCTGTGGGAACTGCGAGTTTATAGCGACCCCCAGAAAAGATAGAAAAGTCATTGGTAAATTCCTGTTTAAATGGTGATGAATTGCTTTTCTATTTTTTTGGGGTTGCTTTTACTGGGAGTACAATAATTCGAGTCTCAGTCTATAAATCGTATGATGTCGTATGGCCCCCCCAATCCAAGGTCAGATAGACCTGCCAGGCCACCTTTTCAACTTGGTGTTTGGAAGCCAGCGCCGGCGAAGCGGAGACACCGAAGAAGAAGAGGAAGAAGGAAAAGTCGGAGCGAGAACTGGGTCGTTGGCCCACTCCCAATCTGACCTTCGTTGAGCAGGCGTCATTTGACGGATGGTTTTGGGTCGGCCAGATTGTACATATATGCAACTTGTGAACATGGGAGATGAAACTGCAAGCACCTTCACTTTTGCAAGAATATACGAGAATGTTGGATGATGAAATTAAGTAATGTTAAAGTAAGAGGTTTGAAAACGCCAAGGTTTGCTGAATGGGTTCCATTCTTCGCTGCCAGGTTTCAGCCAAGCTGCCAGAGGGCAATATCCAGGATATGGCCTTCCACTTCGTAGAAAGTTCCACTGAGGAATATGAGCCATTCAGTTGCACCAAATGTCTCCGAATGCCAGATGATCTGTCAGCTGAGTTGAGGGACATGATTGAACCGGCTACTGTAGCAGTAGCATGGAGCAGCACCCACCTTTCATCCGCAGGGTGTGCAAAAGCTTAAAACCTTGGCAACCGATAGGGAAGGACGCTATACGGATACCCCGGTTCTTACATCTCAATGAATACAACTGATCGGGGATGACCTTGTTTATCCTTCTTCCCAGCATAGATCATATTCAATCATATTCACAAACATCCTTAAAATCTCCACCTCAAGTGCTTAAACAGTTATAAACAGTTCAAAAATCCGATTCCAGTGGTTGGACCATGGTTAAACCATGGTTAAACCATGGTGAAATCCCCCAATTTCCTCCGGTTTTGGGCCCAAAAGATCTGTCTTCTCCGAGGCATTCGCTGCGGCCTTCGCTGATGTGTTGGACCTCCTGCGGCCTGCTGTGGAACCTGGATTTCTCGGGTGCCGAGCCCCAGCTGCGGCCAGAGGCCGATGTGGACCCGGTGGATGTCGGTGGATGTTGGGAAATAGATTCGTAATGATCCATTGGATCATCCATATATTGTAGATCCTCTATAATGATATTAGAATATGTTTTATATTCTTCTATAATGTTTTATATTGTTTTATTATGTGTGTATATAATATAATATATATATACATAGAATGATGAACCAAATGATTTGTATGACATGATTTAATAGGTGAAAATGAAACTGTTCAACCGATGTGTTTCTTTAGATTTGCAACATCATGTCGATCTTTCTTGGGTGGATCGATGTCGACCGCGGGCAGGAAGCTCCTGAGGAGACGGCTGCAAGCACCGGCCTTGGTGATGCGACAGATGCCTCCAAAAACATTCTTACGTAAATAAATACATAAGTGATCATAAGTGCAGTTCTCTTGTGTCATATTCAGATTGCAAGTGGATGAGCGTCCCTTTCGATGGTCCATTTTGAGTTTGGTAGCAAGATGTAGCAAGCTTTGAGTCCAAGTTTCGCCGCTGGCAGTCTGGCAGTCCGCCGGTTTCTCGTTTCAGGTGCTTTGGGCAAAATCACCGGTGGACGCACCACGGTCTGAAGCACAGTTTCTGCAAGACCGAGAGGCAGCGAAGAGTCAGAGTTCAACTCAGATTTTTCCCATATCAAACGCAAACTAGCTCCATGAGTAGGTTTGAAGCCTTGGGAAGTTTGCCACTCTTATGAAAGATGTTCGGCAGATCCAGTTGGTTTTTTCTGAGGTCAGTAAAGCAGGGCCCGTATCGCCATACCCGTGGCAAGCTCAGCGCGTTGAAACTCTCAGCATCGACGGATGAAGATCTGCTGATCCAGGTTGCGCACCACTCCTGCACAGCAGGCAGGGGAAGACCATGAATTCGGGACAAAGCCAGATATCTTATTGTTTATTGTTAGTATTTGTTAGTTAATGTTACTTATCTATATAATTATGCATAATCATAATTAAAATGATAATAAGAATCATATATTATATATATATATCACTAATATATCCCCATTTTTCCCCATTATATCACTGTGAGTTTGTCATAGTATCTTTCTTCGAATGAACTCGATTGAACATGTTGTTTTGAGTGGCATGTCAAGTGTTGGAAGTCTTCAAATTTGCTAAGACAGGATCACAGGGCCATCATTGCAGGTGTACACAAAAACCACAGCTGCCATCAGCTGCCCGTTATTTCTTTTCTAAAAACGGGTGATACCCCAAACTGCATTTTGTTACTGGAGAAATTATGACTCAGTTCACGAGAATTCGGGGTCCCCTATTTTCGCACAGCACACACCCATATCCTCCACCATATGCTGCACATCTCATCATATCCCATTGATATCTCTGCAACATCTAATTATTCTAATTCATATCCGTAGTAAAATACCAGGATGAATATCTACGTGTATATATATATATATATACATATACATATACATATACAGATACAGATACAGATACAGATAGAGATAGAGATAGATAGATAGATAGATCCGATTATCCTTTGGTTGGTGGTCCGGATTTCCTGCAGGCTGGCCTCGTGCCGCGGTTGCTGCAACGCATTTTACCTCCACAAGTTCCAAGTCATATGCTGCCGGGGCGCTTGAAAAGCCGTAGAAACTGTTGACATGTCTTGGAAATCTCGGGTGATTTCACTGCAGTTGAATCTAGTTATCCGACCTACGGCTTTTCAAAGAGTGGTTTATGATAGAATCTTGATGATTGTAGGCTATAATAGCTGCCAACTTTGGATGTCAATGCTAAATCACCGAGGCCATCACCTGCTGTTTTATGGAGGGATTTCTTGTCAATTTATGTCCGACGCTCATGGGGAAGTCGAGTGGAGAGGACCTGTGAAGCATTGATATCAGAATGTTGGTGATTGGATTGCACTTTCAGCCACGCTTCTTTCCAAACTGCACTGATTTCAGATGTCTCAGGGGTAAGCTCTGTAGATGTGGCGGGGCTGTGCATTTCAGAATTGTTGACAAAATCAGGAGGTGATGAACTTTCATTATGCCAACCTCGACTCAAACTAGATAGAAAAGTTGGAAGCAAGCTGGAAGTTATTTGAGAATATAGGGAATATAAGGTAGACATCCAAAATATCCTCAAACAACTTGGGCCGAATTTGCGCCCTGGTCCCAACTGAAATCGTCCGAAGCTTCTGAGGCTAAGCCCGTGGGAGACGATCCCGTTTCAGCCCCACTAGAGGCAGCGTCACAGATTTCTTTCAGATGGCTTTAGGTGACATTTCAGATACTTTTCTTGTATGCAATGTCACCTAATGTAAAATGATGTGTGTCTTTATACATAACTCTATGATACACCACTGGGTTTGCCTGAAAATAGGCTACGCCAGAATCCACCGGTTTTATAATCATCGTTATCATTATCAGTTTCATCATGATTATCATTACCATTATCATGTTCATCATATGTTCATCATATTATCATGATTATTTTATGGGGATTATCCATTATAATATGATGAAAGCTCCCATTTATCATTACCATCTGGTAAACTAATGTAACTATGGAAAATCACCATTTTTAATGGGAAAATCCACTACAAATTGCCATTTTCAATAGCTATGTTAAATTACCAGAGGGTATCCCATATGATCCCCATATGATCCCCATAAAAATCACCACTGGCTGCGATCGATTCCTCCCAGGTGGACGATTATTCCTCACAGTTTGCCTCTGAGGCCGGTTTTGCACTGGCCCTGAATCCAATGACTTTGTTGATGGGAATCCGATCTAAATGGCGTGAAAAATGGTCGGTTTAACTGTTTAACTCCTAAGTTAATATATTGAAATGGCTTGGACATGGACCAGCTTGCGATCGAAAAAACCAAGAAGTTCTGCATTTGCCACTGTTATGACTTGGAAGTCTCAAACTGAAGCGACATCTGATGAGTTTCTCCATCAACATCCATGGCCGGCTCTGTGTAGAAGCATTGTTGATTCATGTTGGTTCTATGTCCCAACTCTCATGGACTTTATTCCGATGTTTTCTGCAGATCTCTCAGCTTCCTCCATCAGCACCTGCACCGTGCGGAGCTGCGGAGTGCTGGATGAGGGATCAGATCGGGCAAAACGGTGGATACACCAACCACAATGTTGTCTTACCCTTCGGAAGTCGAAGATGGCTGGGAAATCTTCCAGCTACATTTGAAATGGAGGTTTGAACTGGAAAATGGAAGAATAATCTATAAATCGGGAACTGTGGAGGGTATACAAGTGGATTTTTTTTACAAACATACATTTTGGAAGCCCCAAATATCGCTTCAAATATGATATGTGCGAAGCCGGAAATTTGCCATGGCCATTGGACACATTCCAAGGCCACCTGCTGAGTTGGTGGACGAGGAGTGGATGGATTCGTAGGGCACCCAAAGTCCAGATGATGGCGGCCGCTGTGAATCAGCTGGGCTCGATCTCGCCCAAGGGTAAAACTCCGCGCTGAGGCTAGTTGAAGCCATGTGATCTCACCGAAAATCGCTTCACTGAACCCAGATTCTGCACTTAAGACGGAGTCACGGATGTTTCACCCGTCGATCCCGGCACTTTGCGAAATCGCCAAGAAAAGCGTTGTTCAGGACTGCAGCAGTTCAAAGCTGTCTATGCCTCTCACTAATGCATTGTCATCTACTATCATGCACTCAAGTATAGGCCTGAAAAGTAATATCAAAAGATGCAAAATTAAGATGACTGCTTGAAGAATTGTGAACTTTACCGCCGATGCGGAATAAGAAGTTTTGTTAAACAAATTGTGCAGTGTTTGACACTGCAGAGTTTGACAGTGTGCTCAAGTGACTCTTGCTCAAGTTCAATAACAACACGATCCACATACCTCCAGATATCATCCAGACCTGAATGCAATTGAGGTGTCACATGGTTTCTCCCTCTGTCGCAGCTGTAGTGGCTTGATCTTTTTTTGGCCAATGAGGGGCCAGTTGGTTCTTCCAAAACTGGCAATGGTGTTTTCTTGTTTCGGAAACTAAAGTTGATGGAACAATCCTAAGCCAAACGAAGCTTGCAGCGATGTTTTTTGTGACGCACAGTACACACCGCTGGTTGTCAAGAGATGAACGCTTGAATTCAATCCTGCATGTGGTGAGACTCCAAGAAGGCGGTGAAACTTTGGATTTCGTGTCACATGTCCGGCACGTTTTCCTGTCGCCGTTTCCCCGGTCGCCAATGCAACGGCTGAAGGACGATGCTTTTGGCGGCGCCTCCGGCGCCTCAGGAACGCCTTCCGAGGCTTGTTTGGAGGTGATGTTTGACGATTTTTGCCAGATGATGATTCATTTGATGATGTTCAGAATTGATTTCATCATGTTTGCACATATATAGTCATATTCATTGATCCTTAATATATGCATGTATATAGAGCATTTTGCTTTAAGGCAAGCATGTTTCGTGCCCCCATGCATCACGTTCCATGAGTGGATTGGATGCCTCCAGGCCTTCCTGTGCCGGTGCCAGTGCTAGCATGGGATCCCAGCAGTTCGCAGTGACGAAAAGCCTGGTTGATTGGTTATGACAGGGGATTGTACTGGGATATAATCCATATTAATTCATTAAGTTGATTTAAATTGGGAATCATCATCATCATCATCATCATCATCATCCTCCAATGTACTGGGATATACTAGTACTGCCCAATAAATTGATGGATGTAATCCCTGATGGGAATCCCTATTAAAAAACCATTCTATGGAAGTCATCTCAATTTGTTTGGTTGAACAATTGGACGATCAAGGCTCACAATTGTTCTGTTGATGGGTTTGTTTTCTGAAGGACCGGCAGCCAGATCCTGGGAACCACGGGATTTTGGCTCACTGGAGAAAAACCGGCTGCCAGTTGCAATGGCGCAAAACCAGTGGCACATTCAGAAGTTGCTCGGCAAGTCAAATAATGGCTTTTGAGTCTGGTAATGAAGACATATCATTCTTTTTTGAGTCTGCATCATGGAAAATACAGCACCTTTGAACAGATGTTTGTCCAACAGTGCGGAATGCAACAACTATAGTTTCAGAATGATCCAAATCATATCAAATCATTCAAAATCTATCTGACCTAAGACAGGCATGGTCATCAAAACAGCGCAGGTCACAGAACTTCCCAGCCCACCTGGTGAAGTCGATTCGTCGTGGAGCAGCTCCCTTCCGCTCGGATCTCCATGGCTACAGCTGTGCCACAGCACGAAAACTCATGTTGGAGGCCTTCGCAGCCGAGTTGCCTCAGATGCTTGGACCGCTTGGAGAATGGATGGGACGATGGAAGATCATGGAAGATGGTTGAAGGATCTTGACGTTGATTTCACATGTTGAAAGAGTCCAGCAAATTCATGGCTCGAAAATCTTTGGAGAAGTCTCAAAGTCTGAACATGGATTGTTTTTTGTTTCCAGACCTTCCAGGCCTTACTCTCTGAGATTCTCGAAGTGAGGCCTGTGATTTACACCTTCGTGTTGGGCTGCGGTCAGCATTCCTTGAAACAATACCGTGTAGCGCTTCGAAAGGCCTGTCATGAGGGCCTGAGGGAAGCCGGCCTTTCAGAAGATCGCCATGCATCAGATGGAGCCATTGGCAAGTTTAAATCCATTGATGACAAGGACTGTGGTAATCCATGGGGATTTCAAAGATGTTTTCCGATTGTTTAAGGATGAAAATTTGGATAAAAATGGGATGATGGATGATGAATCCAATTGAAGTTCAATGAAGTTAATATGTTTTGAAGGACCATGGCATGCACATGATCCGGGTCTTCCCCAAGCGATCCGCGGACCAGTCCACGCAGCTAGCGGAAGCAACGGAAAAATCGATGGATGAAGATCTGGCAGAGGTTCAAGTGGACAATGCGCGAGCCATGGGATGTTATGTAGATCATTATTCAATGCTTGGGCTGTGTGAGTTTCTAAGCACCTTGTTGCCCATTCTTCAAGCTGGTCTCAATGGCAAGAAGTTGTTGAGTGATGGTTCTGAACCAGAAGTACTGCAGCTTCGAGCCTTTGAGTCCCTGGAAGAGTTGCAGGGAATTTGGAGTCGAGGTTTCAAGGCATTGAGAGCCATGCTTTTTGAAACCTCAGAGACGATCAGCTCAGAGACGAAGTCTGCATTTCTGGCCCTCATGGACTTGGTGGAACTGCAGTCAAAATGTGCCGCAGCATCTAACATGCGACAGATGATTCAGGCCTTTGCAGTTGATGGCAGAAATCCATTTGCAAAAGGTCTGGCTGAGAAGGAACGTGAACTGGAGAAGATTCTTGTTTGCAAATCGTCGGTTCAGTCCTTCTGCTTCAAACTCCATGTTTAATTTCAAACTCCATGTTTGATTTGTTCAGTTCAAAAACAGCAACTCTGACAATTGAACATGATGAATGGTGGGAAAAAATACCTGGGTAATCCGGGTAATCTGTCTTTGTGGAACTCATCACATCTCATAACAGGTATCAGTTGTGCTTGTCGCGACCGGATTCACGAGGATTACTGACCTGCTTCATCGCTGGGAGTCGGGCAAGTACACCTTTAAGAACGTGGGCGACCAAAAGGACGCCTGGCGTTTTTTGAAGTTCTTGGGCTACCCTCGGGCAATGTAACATAGCTATGTAAATTGCCATTTGTAGATGATTTAGTTCATGCGAATGGATTGTGAAAGCTGAATATGTTGGAATTAAAGTGTCTGCTTCATGCTGCAAAATCATGTGCTGGCGGGCGTACATCTCACAAAATAGCACTGCATTACATTAAGACGACTATATATCACGAGACTAGACTCAACGATGCCCTAACGATACTCTGTAACAATACCTCAAAAAAAACAGGTTTTTTGTTCCGACCACAGAAGATGCCCAAAAGCAGAATTTGTGGTTTGATCTCCCACATATTAAATAGCGTTACTGAGGGATCCTAACATGGATCCAACATGATCCAATAGTGATTAAAGCAGGATTTCTAGGGGCTTATTTAAAGGAGAACAAAGGAGCCTAAACAGATCTCAAGATGATGTCCTGGATGTCAATACTCAAAGGCTGAACGGAGTGGAAAACCATCGGACCCAAGGGGTCTTCCTAACTTACAAAGTAAAACATACCCAAAGCACACCTAAACAAACAAAAAAGAGCCTGCCTCCAATGGTTGTTCATCATGACCATATTTATTCCCCATCAAAATTGCTATTCTTTGCGTCCACGACATTTTCAGATCCATTTTGGTCCCATGCTGGTGACAGGACAAGCAGCGTCGCGCGGATGAGCTGAACGCGCAGTTGGCCGAGATGAAGCAGCAACTCCACAGTGCAGCGCGTTGGAAGACGGGGGTAGCACCACCACAGGCAGCCAGTCGGATGGAAGAGTGGGATTTGTTTCATGATTTTGCCTACGGCCCGAAAACCGGCCTAGCGTTTTTGAGTTGTTTTGCGTTGTGATATGTTGGGGGGGATGGGGTGGGTGGGGTGTAATAACGTCCTGTGTCTACGTTATCATCGATTTTCTCCGGTGAACACATTTCATGTTACGTTGCACACTTCTGTTGTACTTCGGTGAACACACTTCATGTTACGTCGCACACATAACTTTAATTCGGTGAACACACTTCATGTTACGTTGTACACGTATGTTTTAATTCGGTGAACATATTTCGGCGAACACACATGTTACACTTCATGGCAATGGCGATACATACATCGAAATGCTGATGTGTGTGATATGACGGTCCGCAAGTTGAAGTGATGGAAAAGAATCGCTGGCGCTGTGGCAAAACGCAAAACAATCCAAAAAACGTAACGTTTTTTGAGGCTGTCCAACATGCATTGTTGAACTCCCACTGCAATAAAACAAGTATGTTTCATAAATCCCAATGGAAATGAAGTGCCAAAAGACACCACCATGATATAAACATGTGGCAAATGCGAAGTTTTCAACAAGACGAAAACCACAATGAAAATTAAAATTGATGAAAACGCTGGGCCGATTTCCGGGCCGTTCGGATGATTTTGATGATCCAACATGCAACTCCAGGGAAAAAACCCTTAACCATCCTCAACCCAATGGAATATATAATAGGTTATGATAGATTATAATAAAATGTTCTATAATGTTCTATACACCCATGATTATTGTAGGTGAATTTTGAATCTTTTGGAACCTTCAGACGGACTGTTCTGACTGTTCTGACTGTGTCGCCTTGCAGGTGAAGCCGATGGAATCAGCACCAGACAGCAGGATGTCGCGACCAAAAATCGCTGGATTTTCGCCGTGAAAACGTGGCCACACAGAGGTCAGGTCGATGGGTTCGATCTGGGGCTGGAAGTTGAATCATGTGGAATCAGTCCAGTCTACCATTGAAGAAATGTTCTGTGTCCCCACCGGAGGGACCGAAAATTTTTAAGGCCATTTAAGGCCCATATCCACCCATGTGTTTTGTTGTTTTACAGAAGTCTTCCTGACTGTCTCTAAAATTGGTGCCAAAGGCAGCCACACGGCAGGTTTGAAACCGGAATGTCTCCGATTGCTGATTGGGGGCTACGCATGTTTGGTGCCGCAAAGAGATCTGATAGTTCTGATTCTGATAGGCTAAAGCGAAGACAAAAAGCTTGAGACATCCTTGGACAGGGGCAGGATGGTATGTTTTTTGCAAAACTGTGAGGCTCCTTGCACGAGTTCGTGTTTTTTCCCGATGTGCATCAGCCAGAAGTACTGCCCCTTCAATTCTCACCATAGCATACCATAGCTATATTGTCTTTTGAGATGTTTTGAGGTTTTTTTGTTACTTTGGCAATCTTTGGCATACTTTGGCGCCAAGCTCATAGATGTTTCATCAAGAAGGATTTGGGTCACCAGCTGAGGCAAGGAGAATGAATGGACGTGTGGGGTCCAAGATACCCGGCGATACCGGGCCATGGAGGTCGTGCCACACGAACCGAGATCACATGTTTGGTGGTCTATGCAAGGTATGGCACATTTGTCATTCTATGAAATTTAGGATTCAAGACCATTTATATCATATTATATGTAATATATATATATACAGTACATACATATTATAGTTTTATGTGTTTGTTTGAGGCATGATGATACAAAGTTCAATGTTCGGCAGGTCTCCTGTCCGCGGAGGAGGGGTTGGACAATGGGAAGATATGGGAAGCGTCGCGGAATTTGGTTCGTTGCTTCACGGCATTGCTTTGTCCCCTTGCAGGATATGGTTCTCCTGGCAGTTTGTCCCCGTGGATAGGCGCTACCAGTGCTGTCATGGATTGGATTCAGCATAGTGTTGGAAAACGCCGGTGGAAAAGCTTCGAGAATGGGTGATAGGTGGGACTGAGAAGATTGCTGACAAGGCTTGGAGTTGTTTGCTGTCAGTGTTTTGCTTGAAAAAGGACTCCTAAGTTTAAAGGCCGGCTCCGACGCAAAGCGCTCGTTTGTTTCGAGGCGTGGATGAATATATCCCCAAGTGCAGCAAGTACCACGGTGCCGTGGGAGGCTGCCTGCTCATCCTGTCACACGAAATGACTCGTCGGCACTCGATTTGTTTGCACTCGTCGGAGGTCACCATGAGCGACGCTTTTGGCCTAGGCGTGTGACATCGCGTGGCAATCATTTGGACAAAGCTATTGGTGCTACGGCGCAAAAGAATGGGCCTGAAAAACAGACGGATCAGACGGCCCCACGCACACAGTTGATCATCTTCTACTTAGAACATGTTAAAAAACAATATTGAAATGATCCATAGTGAATCTAATCCCCCAGTATTAAACACCCCATGGTATCCCAAATATCAATCCCCTAAAGCCCATGGGATGAATCATCCGTTGTTCATCCCCGTAGGGCAGAGTCCCCAGAGTCCGAGAACGGGAGCCGTCCCTGGCCGAGTGGTGCCCTGGCCAGGATTTAATGTATGGGATATAGCTCCAAAAAGCTACATAATATGGTATTACCATACATCATCATACATCATTTTAGTATATTTTAGTTACCAATTCCATCCATTTTTCGATAGCCGATGTTTTTTTTAATGATTTGTGGACAGTCGATGTTTCAGTGGTTTGAAACGTTGATCAGCTCGCAGCACTCGCACATCCTTAAGGATTCGCCGCGGCTGCGAGAGCTCCAGCCAAACTCCGACTGGCTGAGTTTCTACCATAGTTGGATGGAAGATCAAGAAAGTTTTCAGTCTCTTGGATGCAGCTGCATAGCTGATATAGCTGATTTCATCATATTTCATCAATGGAAAATGCAATCGAGATTGAGGTCAAACACCTGGTTTGGGGTTGAGAAAGGGTCCAACGCGATATGTTCCAGGATTTAGGCAACATGTTTTCAGGAAGGCTGCTGGACGGTAGTGCCATAGAATTCGCTGGCATTGGTGTACCCACGGTGCGCTTCTTGCCTGTGAAAGTCGCGTCGTTAGTCAGAGTTTCAAACCATCCAATCTGCATTGGAGATCAAAGCCAAATTTCCAAATATATGGTTCATTGATGTTCATTGAACCTTTGTTGGTCCAGTTAAGTGTCTTTGTTGAGGGACCTGTTTGAAGATGTTTTCAGCCCTCGAAATCGTGGGATTTTGCCTTGCGCAGAGGCTTGGCACCGAATCACAAGAGAAGTTGTTGAAAGCTGCTAAATGGGTGCCTTGGATGGCGGTAGATCCAGTGGAGATGACAAACACCGGTTGATTAAAAAAACTCAAAAAAAAAGGCTGTGGTGTCAAATGACGTGCGTGGGAGGCTGGGTCACATGTGCCTAAGTCTCATCCGGTCATCGTTAAGCCTGTGTTTGTTTTATATTGTTTGGAAAAAATGAAGAAACAATGCGTTTAAATTCAATAATAAGATTGCAATATATTGAAATCACAGCATGGCATGAAGTGCTATCAGTTCTTTAATGACAGGATTCAGGAACTTTCCACTTTCAGCTATGTCTGGGCTAGACAGCCTCGTCAAGCACAACATGGTTTCAGATGGTTTCAGAAACCCCAGGTGGCGCCAAATTCATGCCAATATGAATTCTGAAGAGCTTCTTGGATCTACCCTCTGGTAAACTAACATAGCTATGGAAAATGGCCCATTTATAGATGGTTTACCTATTAGAAATGGTGATTTTCTATAGCTATGTTAAATTACCAGAGGGTAAATGATAAAGAACTTGAAAGCTAGCATGGATCCCAGATATATTCAAATGATCCCAGCTCCAAATACTCCGAGGCTGCAAAGCAAATCGGTCCTGGCCATGAAGCCGTTGAGGCCATGGCCCACCATGGCCCACCATGGCCCACCATGGCCCCTTGGTGGATGAAGGGTGTAACCCATCCAGATCCGACAACCCCGCGGCTTAGAACCATGACAAAGAAAACGACGACTTGACCGACTTGACAAGCATGCCAAACAAGATATATGTGTATATATATATATATGTATATATATATATATGTATATATATATATATGTATATATAGTAGTTATCATGCAGCTCTACATGTGAGTTTGAGCCCCACTGTCTGAAGGGCACAGCCTGAAGGGCTGCCATGGACTCTTCTTGATGGCATGCCGTATCCCAAAAAAAGTTCAGCCATTGCGATTTGAAGATGACATCATATTGGCCGTCACAAGAGGTGTCGAAAATCTACCCTTGTTTTTCCATGTATGATTGCGTATAAGTAAGATCACCCGTAAGGGCCCCTGGCCAAAATCTTATGGGCAATTTGAACGTCCCTCTGGCTGCAATCCAGCTTTCCAGGCAGCAAAGCGACAGCTTCAGCATTTGCGTTCGCGACAACATCAGATGCGCGGGGAGACTCAACGGCTGAGCCAAGTTCCCAAACACTTCGCAATCCAACCGGATCCACCATGCGTGTTTCTTGCTGGAGTAGTTGATCGCAATTTGCGGCTTTGTTTGAAAATTTAAGGGGAACAGAAACAAAATCCAACGGAGAATCATAATCTTTCTCATTAGTAGTTAATATATGTTAGTATTGCTATTTGGGGCCTATACCCCATTGTCAAATGATCAGCTGACGCAACAATCCCCTGCAGTGGCAACTGAAGGTTTCAAGTCCAATCTTCGGTGGCACAAGGCCGCCAGTAGGATGGTGTTTAAATGGAGTTGGCAGTTGTCTCCTTTGGTTTCAGAGGCTGAAACTTGTGATGCAAGTTGTGTGGATACCGAGTTGCGCAGAGGTGTTTTTTATCTGCACACATGGACGGACATGTACATCTTGCAAAAGTCGTATTCGGAAAGGCATCTTTTTGCCCCACATCTATTCAAAGTTCGCAAGAGCATGAACAGCTGTACAGGATTTCAGGCTGGTTACATATAGTGGAAGTCAATGCCAAATATTTGGTCCCAGTTGGTCCGGTTTGGTCTCTTTGACTAACGTAAAATTGTTGTGATTTGGCTTTGTAGGCAAACCTTGCCTTTGAACTGCAGCAACTGGTCGGGGTCTCAACAAGTTTGATGACTGGTTCCTTTGCTGTGTCTTTACAGTGATATCCAGCTGAGGAGGTGTTCAGAGACACACGTCTGGCGTTAATCATTTTGCTGATCATCGCTGACAGTGTCTTCTTGTTTCTACCCGAAATCCACCATGTTGGACAAATGACCTACGGCAAAATTGGGCACTGGGTTATGAAAGCCGATCCCTAGCAAAATGAGCTCCATGTTACATCATGTTACCATAGGGGCGTCCACATTTCTTCCATCCCACTCTGGTGTTTTTTTCAGCTGGGAGAAACGAGCAGTGTCAAATCCGGATCGAATCTCGGAATTTGCCTTTGAATTTGTTTACTGTATATGGGTATGGATCAATACCTATTAATACCATGTTTAGTGGGATGAACATCCATTTACCAGCTATTTTGATGTTCACCAGGGGTACAAGGTTTTGACACACTGCCATATAATTATTATAATTCACCTTTAAAGACACCAATTCCATCCAATTCTCCGGATAGAAATGGACCTTGGCTGGTTCAGCTTGGATGAGGCTCACATGGAAGTGTACAAGGATGAGTCCTTCAAGGCACAGCATGGCCGCACTTTTCCAATGCTGGGATAGTGTTGTACGATGTTTTAAGTTATGTATTGATATGTTGTCATATCATGTCATACCCGTAGCTATAATTATCTATACAGATGAATATTGATGATATCATTCTGCAGATACCTGCCCCCACTTTGGCTATTTATCTGAGGTCTCCACCTTTCCCAGGTCTCCACCTTTGTGCATGGGGAGATCCCAATCCATCGATTGCTGCAATTTGTGCTTGGCAGATGGTAGTAGATTTATGATGATTCATGTTACTGTATAGTAAATATGTATTTTTATATCATGACTATGCACATCTATGCATATCTATGTATGCTTGTATAGGTATCTTTCCTCTGTGAATGGCAAGGACAGGGGTCCTTGCGATTCACTCAATATGTTGCCCGGGAATGAATCGCAAGTTACCCGCAGGTCCCCGACTCTCCGCATGCATTGGTCTGACCAAAAAAAGAACTAAGGGGTTATTATGGGGTGACACATGATACCAAGGCAACCACAGATGGACACGAAACATGTTCTGTTTGGAGCTTCGGTGATACTTCCGCTGTGCTAGGCTTCGGTGAGCGCTGCGGAGGTGGATTTAGGACCTGCTCATGAGGCCCGGCAGTCGTGGTTGTCCTCCAAGTTCTATGATTTACAGATGTTTAAGACAGTTTAAGAACCCTGATTTTCCCAATTTGAATGGTTATTTGATGTTATTTGCCATATGCCGTATGCCCGATGTTCAGACACTCACTCTCTACAATATTTTTGGCATGTTACTTGGCATGTCTTAGCTCAGGGCCCGCAGCTGATCTGGGCAGGTCGTGGCCAACGCACGTCGCATGGCGCAGATGTCCGGCCCTCAGACGTTGACCGCGGCGGATGCGTTGGCGCCCGCTGGCGCCCCAGGCTGAAGATGCAGAAAGTGGAGAAAGCACGGAAAGCCCGCGAGGCGAACGGTCATCCACAAAGGGGTTAAGAATGGTTGAGAATAGTTGATAATGGTTCATACTGGTTAATGTATGTTAATGTTAAGTCATTCTCAGCGCAATCCTGATTGATAGTGGGATGACAACGTCGCATGAATCCCATGTTTTGGCCATGGCATGATGATGTAACAGAGTTGGTTCAAGATGGTTTAAGAATGTTTAAGATTTTTTGATATTTTTGATAGATGGATTATCCCCAGATGGTGAGGTACTCTGTCATCTTTTCCTAGTTGGGACAATTTGAACACCATGGGTTGAAACCATGCTGCAACGCCAAGTGGCCAGCGCGGCCCAGGCGGCGCAAGATCTGCAGCTGCGTGCAGCAGCCGAAAGCAAAGACTTGCACGTCCTGGCTGGGAGCATTCAGGTTCCGAAACGCTTCCGAAACGCTTCCGAAACTCAGGGAGTTTGGGTTCGCGCTCGCAGGTGATTTCGATCGCAATCAAGACATTGAGAAAAAACACGTGATCAAAACTCTTAGACTTCTGGTTGTAGGAGTTGGTCTAGCGTTTTCATGACGCACATGATGTGAATAACAACCAGTTTTGGACCAACCGGCTCAAAGGTTTTCAATCCACAGCAGGAGTTTGAAAATCCAGCCCAAAATTGAACACCCATGCACAGCTCACGGCAATTTGTCATGAGGAATATGAGGATGCATCAGAAACACGACGAAGACCGACCATCCCCTGCGACAGGCTGCGGCTCAGAAGCTGGGTCCAGCACACGACATCGTGGAAAGAGGTCGTCAGGTGGAGATTTTGATGCAGCAACCAGTGGTCAGTTCTAGGTGATGCAATCCGTGCTGTTGATCCTCTTGATCCTGTTGATCCTGTTGATCCTGTTGATCCTGTTGATCCTGCCATCACAGGAATTCTTGCAGCAGCGGCGAGAGTTGCAACGAAGGCAGTGGCCAACTGAGCCTAGAGATTGCACTGCTCCGAAGCTGTTTTGGTTGGATCCTACTGGAGCTCGTGGTGGACGTATGACTGAGGTGGGAGGAATGCGTTCGTTTGCAGCAAGCTTTGATGGTGTGATGCTAAGAAAAATGAAGAGTGGAAAACTATGGAAAATTCATAATGGAGTAGGATGAGTAGGCCTTCAGCCTTTCAGTCCTTTCAGATCCTTTCAGTTTGGGGTGATGGGTTTAACTCCCAAAGCCCGGTATTTCGCATTTCAGTGTGATAAGGTTGAAGCTTGCGAATCGCAGGATCCAGAGTCGCGCCTGGCATGTTCGAACCGCGGGAAGTATCGGGGAGTATCCGAAGCGTTCAACTCCCTAGGTCCTAAGTTCACATCAAAGTAGTTGGTAGATCTGGTAGTTATATGAAGTTATTATATATATATGGGTATATAGTTATATATATATAGTTATATATATAGTTATATATATAGTTATGTATATATATAGTTATATATATATAGTTATATATATATATAGTTACTTATATATATATAGTTACTTATATATATATATGTTATGAAATGTTATGAACATTCATCCTCTTGATATAGAAAAAAAAAAACTATGGCTGGACCTTGATCCCTTGATCTGCCATGACAGGCTAATTGAAGCTCGGATCCTGGCCGCTGCGCATAGTCCTTTGGGCCAAGGTCCGTGGCATCAGAGGGGGGGTCTTCAGACCCGGTCTTGATGAACTGGTCAACTTTGAAGCACCCAATGGAATCAATGGACGCCGGACCCACAAATGGCAACTGATGTTGTTTGATGTTTTTTTGGTCCTAAGCTGTTTTTTTTAACATGGCAGTGTGTCAAAACCCATGGAAACCCCTGTAGTTCACATCAAAATAGCTGGGATTTATGGATGTTCATCCCACTAAAAATGGTATTACCCTCTGGTTGTTTAACATAGCCATGGAAAATGGCCATTAATAGTGGATTTTCCCATTAAAAATGGTGATTTTCCATGGCTATGTTAAATAACCAGATGGTAATAGGTATTGATCCATAGCCACATGTTCGTTTTGCATCCAAAACTGGACGCAGGTCATGAGATCGTGCTCTACGGCAAGCGCTACCTGTTGTGGCTCCGGCGGGTCCTGGGCTGAATTTAATCAGAGACGGGAGAACTTGGATGAACTTGGCATCATATAGTTACAATATGATCAATATGTTACAATGCAATCTTTGATGGGTTGATTATCACCATGTATAAACGTGTTTTTCTTCAATCGTATTTGATGCTTTCATATGGAGATCCACTTCTCCTGTGTTTTTTAATGATGGTTATGTCGATTTAATGTGGTATTCAGGTGGCAATTTAGGTGGCCATCCATGGTTCAAAATCCAGGCGATGCAACGCAACGCTCTGGAAGCACGTCAGTGTCGGGCTGTAACTTGGCAGAGCGCAATTGGGGGGGATAACATGCAGGAGGGCCAAACGCCAAACGACATGTTTTTGTTGGTTTGGAACTAGGCTAACTGTATCGAACATATATGTAGAATATATAGATGTGCATGAATAATTTATGGATCCCTGAAAGTCAAATGACTCATTTTACCGTATTTTTCCCCAGCATTTTGTGGTGATGTTCCACATTCTTCCACTCACCCCATTGGTAGAAGGCCCAGGGCAACAGATGAACTGGCCAGCGAAGCTGGCCAGGTTTGGGGTATACAAAATAAAAACCCAAAGCCACGCAGTGTAATCAACAAATAATTAGAATGGACGTATAAATAATTAGAATGGACGTATAATATATATATATAGATAGATAGATAGATAGATATATATATAGATAGATATATATATATATCAGTTCATATATCCAAGAATCCTGTGCCAGCCTTTCCGCTGGCCAGGTGAAGGTTCTTCAGGAAGCCTCCAGGGAAGCCACCCAAGCAGACCTTCGAAGTCTGGAAAGGCACAGAGGTGCGCATTCCTTGGGATGTGATCAATGTGATCAATGTATTCATAGAATTGGATGATGGGAAAATTTACAGGAAAGCCCTATATTTGATGGTAAAAACCATGGTTTCCTGTAGATTTTCCCTTAAACCAATCCAATGATGTATTGATGGATAGAGGTCCAAAAAAAAGTGATGCCCTCTAAGACTCTAATCTGATGGTGTTTGACTGTTCCATGTTTCACTTGTTTTTGATATCTGTCCGGCTTTTCCCACTCTTTTCCCATCATTTGGGTGGCCCTGTAGCCAAAGTGTCTCCAGCCAATCGAAATAGCTGATGTTGCCTTGACAGGTGGTCGCATCACTTGCTGTCACCCGCATAATAAGCAGAATATCAGGATACATCAGGTCCAAAACGCTTGTGCAAGGGGATCTTGACAGGTGTCCGATAGACCCTTCAACACCGATGCTGAGTGCTGCAGTTGCAAGGCAGTCGCCTGTGCATACTGAAATCTAAGGACGTTTCACCATGATGCAAGCTCAAAGCGAAACCAGATGGGTATGGGTCAATACCTATAGATACATTTTTAGTGGGATGAACATCCATTTACCAGCTATTTTGGGGTTCACTAGGTACCAGGGTTTTGACCCATCCCCAGATGCTTTCAAAGTTTCAGCAGCTCCAGTGGGAGGCAAAACTCAGCCGAGCCATCCAGCTTTGAACTTGCATCGATCAGGCAGCCAATGATGACATCAGCAGTTCGGTGGTGTTGGTGAAACACGACCTGTGTCGGTAAACTCTGAACGTTGCACCACGAAACATGCTCAATGAGTTAGGTGCAATTTGGGCAAAATGCACAATATCATACGGCACATGGGCCAGCATGGGCCATTCTGTAGCCTAGATACTGGTACTACACGAGTCATTTTGAGGCAGATTGGACATCAAGACCCTAGAGTCACAGTCAAGCTGTGAGTCAAGGAGGGCCGAGTTGTCAAAAGTGCGGAATCAAATCGTGTGGATCAAGCAGTTGAAGGAATCAGAAGATATTTAAGACAACTTCACCCAAAACCATGACAAGATCGAAAGAAAGCTGCAGGGCACCAGTAGACACCAAAAGTACAAAGATGCAAAGCATATCAAAGAATCGTATTGCAACGAAGTGAATTATGAAGTGCACCATAGTGCATCTATCTGCATCTATCACTTGTATATCTTGTATTTGCATGAAGGTATAGGCAGAAGGCCATGTCAAGGCCAAGCAGCGCATTGCTTAGCCATAGAGCCTCAAACATCGGCCTGTGAGCTTGGATCCTCACGTCCACCATCGTCCACCCTTGTGGCCCTGTTTCCCCATAGGTTTCATGGGGGTTGGTGCATCGTTACTTTCCCAACAGCTTCCTATTGCGCTGACCTTTGCGCTCTCAGGCGTCTTTTTGTGGACTCGGCAGAGCTGGAGCTTGGGGAGGTCCCTGGAGAAGAGTGAGCCGTCGCCATGGCGGATCAAAAAGATCGAGAGGAAGGTCACGCAGGCTGTCAATGTCCCAGCACCAGTAACACTGGTGACACAGGTGTCCAAGACAGCGGAAGAGCTCATGAGACTGGGAGTTCGCTATGGAGATCAAGGGAGCATAGACAAAGCCCTGGTAACGTTTGTGGAATCAAAAGCAGCCTTTGAGGGTGATGGCGCTTGTGAAACCTCGTGCTATGCGGAGCTTTTGGTACAGATTGCCATTTGCTACAGCATGCAGGGCAGGAAGAAGGAGGAGATGGAAAAGTACCAAGAAGCCCAGAAAGTGTTTCAGAAAGCGAAGTGCACCGGAACTCGGGGCTACGCAGGCCTTCTGAAAAACATGGGAATTTGGTTCATGGAGCACGACCAGATGGATGAGGCCATGGAAAAATTCCAAGAGGCGGAATCTCGCTACGTCTTTGCCAACGCTGCAGGCAGCAGCAACTACGCCGGCTTGCTCACCAGCATGGGCAAATGGCTGCTCAATGCGGGCTCCGAAGTAGAAGCTATGGTGAAGTTCAAAGAAGCCAAGATCATTTATGAGGCACTAGGTCAAAACAACTATCAGACAGAGGGTGTGTGTTTGTGTGAGTGTTTGTTTGTTTGGACGTTTGTCAGGGAAAACAGGTCATAATGAGGTTCGTCCAAACAGCATGAAACACTCTGGAAGTATCTGGAAGTGTCGTACACGTCACATGATACTGTAGCATAGTTTGTGTATGAGTGGACATGTAACTTTGTTGTGAACCCCTGTCTCAAAACACCGCACATGGAAGGCTTGTCAGGAAGATGCTCCTATCGCGTATGCGGGTCTTCTCATGATCGTGGGGAATGTCCATCGAAGCCAGCAACGTTTCAAAGATACCTTAGAATTTTTTGATCAAGCACAGACTGTTTTTGAATCCGCTGGCGCAACTGCAACAACGGATTACTTGCATCTCTTGTACCAAATCGCAGCCTTCCACTATGAGCAGGACAGCTGCCGGCTTAAAATTGTCCCGCAATGTTATGGATGGTTATAGAATGTAACATTGCTGGTTGAATACTACCAATGAATCATTGGTAGTGGGCCCATTGATACCCCATTCTTGGACCATACACCATGAATATTGTCATCCTTTCAAAGATTGAAACTTGCCTCGTTTCCCAATCTATGCTCTTGCCTCGTCCGAAATCATGCCCAACCGCCCAAGCGTTAGGGTGATCTGAATGTGGCCCTCAAGAAGTATACCCACGCACAAGCAGCCTATGAGGCCGGGTGTTGATGGGCGTCATGGTATGTCATACTTCTATAATATACTTGGGTTTGTCTGAAAATAGGGTATACGCCCAATTATAGCCATTTAATAGGGATAATGATCATTAACCATTGGGTCATTGGGTTTAGGGGTACACTATTTTCAGACACACCCACTTCTTGAATGTTCACAGCTGCCGAACTGCCGAACTGCCCTTGGCTTCGTGTTGCGATAAAAATGGAAACTCGTAGTATCAAATGCATAATTTCTTCCTATTTGTACCTGGAAGCTGAGACTTACATCGAAACTTTTTTGCTGTGTGTTTTTCACGCAGGATGCTGGCTGTACAGAAACTGAGGGTCATGCGCGACTTTTGCAAGGCCGGGAAAGTTGGTTTGTGTTTGCGACAAGTTGGGATACATAAGATAAAATATATAAATAAGATATATAGGGTAGATAGGATAGGTAGGATAGATAGGAAAGATAGGATAGGAAAGGGAAAGATAGGAAAAGATAATTAGTACAGGATAGGATAGACAAGTCTGGTCTAGTCTCAACATAGCGCAGATTTGCGCATTGAAACCTCACGATTTCCACCTTCATTGGAAGCTAGTTTTGTGTTTGTTTGAAAAGTGGGTAGCCCTAAATCATCCTAAATCCATTGGTCAGTCATCATTTCCTTGTATTGAAAATGCCATTTGAGGGGTATATCATGGATATATCATGGTATACGGCACTTACAAACCTTACACAGCCGACCCCCATGGATATCAAGCCACGCGAGGCCTTAGCGCTGTGTACACCAAGCTGGGATGGTGTGAAGAGGCTATGGCGAAGATGATGGAAGCGCAAGAAACTTTTCAGGCGGGCTAGTCATGGTGTGACAAGGAGCATGGCACCTAGTCCGAAAATGGCAACATACGGTGGATGGAAGAAATCCTGCACCACCTTGGATGGTTGAAACCCTATATATAAACAATGGGATAAACCACCTATCAACTGGTGCAGGATTTCTTCCATCCACAGTATGGCAACTGTTTGTGAAGATGTGCCACTGCTCAGGGGGATTGCATCTGACGATTAAACTTGTTTCACTCTCAGGAACTTATTGAAGGAGTGGTCTGTTTGTATAGTTGGGATTTGGAGAAGTGTTCCATCATTGTTCCTGAAAGGACATGCAAAGGGTTCTTTCTTTCTAAAGAGCGGCTGCCAGTCCATATACATGTTCAATATACACCGCCGTACATCATCATCATCATCATCATCATCATCATCATCATCATCATCATGAGACACTACATCTGCACAGCTACAACTGCAGGGGTATAGACGCAGGTGAAAACAGTTGAAAACATCTACGAATCTACAATCTACAACTCTATATAATGCAAGTGCATATTGCAGGTGAAAACATCTACATGTCAACAACTGTATAGTAAATATGCAGGTGCGCAGACGCCAGTGAAAAAATATACACATCTACGACTGTATACAAGCAGGTGCAAAGATGCAGGTGTATCGGTGCAGGTGCATAAATCTTCTTTAGAAAACCCCTACATATCTCTATTCTGCTCTTGGGCGGCAGCGCAGTGCAGATCGAGCCTCAAGAAACACATCACTCTCCCAGGAAATGTGCGTCAATCGTCAAAAACTGCGGTAAGATCGAGATTTATTCCGCCTAATGATTTCCTTACTTGTATCAGCATTTGTCTCTCCGAGCTTCTGTGTTTAAGTTGTTCTTTGCAAGAGTTTTCTGTGTGTAGAAGCATCTGCGTGTAAAAGCCCCGAATTATGTGTCAACGCGCGTGAAGGCTCCAGAGGTCCTTTGTGTAAAAGCTGTGTACAAAAGATATATGTGTATGATCTGTGCATGTGTTTGTAAATGCTTGTGTGTGTGTAAAAGCATCTGTAAAAGCATTTGTGTGTAAAAGCACCCGTATGCGACAGCATTTGTGTGTAAAAGTTGTCAGTCTTTAAAAGGTTGTTGTGTTTATATAAAAGCATCTGTGTAAATGCATTTGTGCGTAAAAAAGTATGCGTGTACAAATTGTTGTACGTAAAAGCGGTCTGTGTGTAAAAGCAAGCTTTCAAGAACACTTAAGCAACATTCCAAGCAACATATTTATGCATGTTTAAGTACAATTTCTATCCATTTCTAACTACTATTTTAAGGTAACATGGTATATTTTTCCAAATACACATTGCTAGATAACACGTCTAAATAACGGTTAAATAACATTGTTGAATTACATTTCCAAGTAACATCGGAATTTCTAAGTACCATTTCTAGGTAGCATCTCATGATAAGATTGCTAGGCAACACGTCCAAAGAACATCGATTCTTCTAAAGGTAGCATTGTTGCAAAGTAATGCAAAGTATGTCCAAGTAACATCGGGCAACATTTTAAGTAACATCGATAGGTAACAGTTCTAAATCGCATATCAAGATACCCTAAGCACCATGTATTCTAAATAATATTGCCATAAAATGGCCAAGCCACATCGGCGCTTCGGTTGCAACATGTCCAAGGAACAGTGGGCGACATTTATAAGCAAGGTTTCTAAGTAACATGTCTAAGTAGCATGTCTAGATAGCATGTCCAAATAGCATTGCCGGATAACATGTGCAAACGTCTACTCTACTCCATGTAACATTGCTGCATAACATTTCTAAGTAACACCGAGTTTTAGATGTTTAAGTAACTTGTCTAAGCAACATGGTTCATCAACATTTCTAGGTCGCATTTTTCAATAACATACCCAGACTGGTTGGTGGTTTGGAACATTTTTTTATTTTTCCATTCAGTTGGGAATCATCATCCCAACTGACGAACTCATATTTTTCAGACGGGTAGGTCAACCACCAACCAGCAGATAATGTTGCTCAAAACCGGGCCATACTGTCGTAGATTTCTGCTGAAAACCAGCAGCTCAAGGCCGTAGGCGCTACGGCGACCACATGCTACGCAGCGCTGTTGCGAAGCATGGGCATTTGGCAACTCGGCTGCTTAAATGACTGCAATATGGGGGGTCCCTTGTGGAAGTAAATCCATCCTAGGGTACCTAAGGTACCTCCGGTTTTCTGCAATGCTAAGTCCTGTTTTCTGTGGTTCCTGTGTCCCAACATGATCAACATGTCCTGCAGATGGTCAAAAAGAAATGTGACAAGGTATGCTCGATCTGGTGACGACATAGAAGCGATCCAAAAGTATGAAGATGCACGCGTTGCATGCGAGGAGCCATCCCATGCACTGATTTCTTGAACAGGTTTTAACGATTTGAGCGGGGCGTCACAAACGGTCCTGTCCAGACGGATGACACTAGACGACACAAAATAGTCACTATAGTTGCAGGAGGCTGGAGCAACATGTAGCCTTCTCTATGCCAGCGTGCTCTCCATGTTGGCTACTGGGCTAGCAGAATCTGGCAGATTTCCAGAGGCCATGCTGGCTTTCAAGAAGGCCAGGACAGCTCAAAATTTGGAACCCCAGGGCCCCATGGATAAAACCATCGTGGTAACACTTCCTTGTTAGGATTGCCATTTGGATCCATTTGGTATATATTTGGAATATATCGTATATATCGTATATACCGTATATATCCCGATATGATATCCCCATATATCCCCCATGTCGCGACAAACCACCGTCCATGTCAGCCAGCCATGTTTCCCAAGAAATTGCGTTTTACGCACCAATTCTTGTTGAATGAAATCATTCCTTGCAAATGCATAGCGACCTCTTGCATTTCCCTGCGACAGGCATATGACGTTCATCATCAGCTGGGAACAAAGACCACGGCCTATGCTCGGCTGTGCTTCAACATGGCTCTTGCGAAGCAAGCACAGTTGGAGTTCGGCGTTGAAATTTACAACGACGCCACAGGCTGCTTAACGATACGGGTGGATTGCTTCTGTTGCCAGATGTTTGTACTGGTCCCATTGCACGAAGTAAAAAAACGGACAGTCCAAGTCAAGATCAAAGCATTGACAGCCTTTGATTGTGTTAAGCTGGGATGGTAGTCCCACCTTAGGGGCTATTGCATGCTATTGCAATCACCCTGCGATGCTTGAAATCTTATGAGATCCGATGAGATCCCATCTGCGGAGGCAAATCGGTGCCAGCGAGCTTTCTCGATGCCAAGGAGGCCTTTGAAGCAGCAGGTGCTTGCAATGGTCCAGAATACCGAGAACTGCTAATGCACTTGAATGCGATGGACATAGATACCAGGCAGGATGCGTTGTGATGGTTGAGGCAACGAACTTGGATAGAGGGTGAAAGCTGGTAGGCCTTGTAGGATTTTGAGAATTGCGCCACCTCCAAAATCTTGAATTCCCAACTTCTACTGCAGATTTCCAGTGGTCCAGCTGCCTCCTCCGACAACCTGAGGCAGACAGGCTCTTAATGCACAGAGAGGATAAATTTTTCCGCTCCTGCGCAGCCAATTGTGGCTGCATGGGCAGCGGCAGCGACCGGAAGTTTTTATTGTACAGTGGTCGAACTTTAATAGAATGAAGAAACTGGTGTTCAGGACCCCGCTGTTCAAGGGCCACCCATGTCCTGTTCGCCGACGGTGTTTGAATCAAGCTGCGTGATTTTAACTGCCTCAAGGCTAAAGGTTGTGCAAGTTGTTTGCTTATCGCAAGAGGAAACATGAGGAAACGTAGCTTACACGTGCTGACAAGGATTGCTGAAATTGCCAGGAGGTTCTTTGAGATCTTTGGGAAGCTTGGCTTTTCTCGACGGAAGAAAGCCATTCCCTCGTGCTTCTTGAAAATTAGGGCATTTATTATCATGCTTTGCAGGTAACAGAGAAGTGTTGACCCAAATGCATGGAACATTTGTTCTGTCGTAAAATTTGAGTGACTCATTTGCCCCTCAAGAAGCGTCAAAGGATTGTCAAACGCAGGGTTACACCTGACTTCGGGGGAGCGCAATAGACGAATTTCTATGGGAGCTGGTTCAGCTCTGGTGCAGGTCCACCAACTGTGTGGGAAACCACGTGCACACACCCACTCTGGAGACGGGACAGAAGCCTAGTGAGGATAGCGCAAGAATGTTTGATGGCAATGATGGCAATGATCCATAATATACTGATATGGGTTTGTCTGAAAATGAGGTATACCCCATCACGATCCATCATGCCTATTTTGGGGGTACTATGAAGCCATGACACTGGCATGTCCTGCACACCTGCGGTGTTTTACCCCAGAGTCCAAGTTTCACACATGTGACAGTCATGGATATCGTGGCACAGTGGTGAAGACAACCCCTGGCAGTCACATGAAATCCTTGAGATTCAAGACTTACACCGTCTCAAACCAAAAGCAACTTCAAGCTGTTTCGGAAGCCAAGTATTTTTGGACTGTGCCTATTCCTTACGATCCACCAAAATTTGCTGTCGTTTTTGCCCAATGGAACCCACCTCGGCGAACGATTCATGTTATTTTTGGATTTTTTGGAACCTTCGATTCCCAAAGGTTTGAGAAGAAAGATCCGCGGCCTGCGGATTTGTTCCCCTTCGGTCGATGATTCGACTGCGTGATTAGTTCCTCAGTACCAGGTAGTCTCTTTAGACTACAAACCCGTGCAATGAAATTGAGAAGAAGTGAAGATTCAATGATGAAATTGTGCTAAATATGAAAGATGATGTACAATGATGTAAAATGTATTTAGTGTTGATCATATGGTTGCATTTTTTCCTTGATAGAGCCTAAATGAAGAACAGTACTTGGGATTCAAGAAAACTTGTGCGTTCTGCCACAAGGCTGGAGAGCAGGGAGATTAGCTGGAGATGGGGAAACATGGCCATATAGGACGATAGTAACATATGAACACTCCCCCCTTGTTTGCAATAGCAGTCTTCCTGAACCGCACAAGGCGGTGGCGGAAGTTTCAAAGATAGGAGCACTCTTGGAAAGGCTGAGTTGGAGTGTCGATGACAGAGTGACAGGTGGTTGGAGTGTCGATGTTTGACTGCCACGTTCTGTTGATCTTCTCGATGCAGTCACGTATTCATCCATCTTTTTTTTTCTCTATCTATTCTTTTGTCTGTGACTGCTTATTTGCCTGTCCATCCATGTTGCGTATCTATCTATATATCTATCTATCTATCTACCTACCTACCTACCTACCCACCTATCTATATATCTATCTACCTATCTCACTATCTACCTACCCACCTATCTACCTACCTACCTACCTACGTACCTATCTACCTATCTACCTATCTACCTGTTTGTCTGTCTCTGTCTCTGTCTCTGTCTCTCTCTCTCTCTCTCTCTCTGTCTGCTTTTCTGCCTATTTGCCTATCTATCTATCTATCTATCTATCTATCTATCTATCTATCTTTCTGTTTGTCTGTCTATCTGTCTATCAAACTATCTATCTATTTATCTATCTATCTGTTTGTCTGTCTATCTGTCTATCGAACTATCGAACTATCTATCTATCTATCTATCTATCTATCTATCTATCTATCTATCTGTTTGTCTGTCTATCGAACTATCTATCTATCTATCTATCTATCTATCTACCTATCTATCTATCTATCTATCTATCTGTTTGTCTGTCTATCTGTCTATCGAACTATCGAACTATCTATCTATCTATCTATCTATCTATCTATCTATCTATCTATCTATCTATCTATCTCTCTATCTCTCTATCTCTCTATCTCTCTATCTCTCTATCTCTCTATCTCTCTATCTCTATCTCTCTATATCTATCTATCTATCTATCTCTCTCTATCTCTCTCTATCTCTCTCTATCTATATCTCTATCTATCTATCTGTCTATCTATCTGTGCGAATAGAGTGTAAGCTACGGACCAATGTACATTATCATGTAATCCACTCTAAGACTCGAAGCCAAAGGGTTGCTACAATGGCCCTTTTGGCTCAAGACACCACTGCAGCTCCAGAACAAAGATCTGCCATGCGGAAGCCGCAATCCTTGTGAAGCCGTCACCGAAGCTTTTACTTCAACCCCAAGTATCAGGATATAATCGGACATACAATCGCCGATTCGCAGGTTATCAGCCGTAGGACTCCTACGGAGCCTACGAGCGGGTAGCCGCGGGCCTTACAGATGACTGAACAGGATAGCAGCGATAATGCATTTTCTTTCTCTGGACATGCCGTTGCACCAGCTGCCGGCACGCAGTCAAATTCTTCACAGAGTATCGACACTGGTGGAAGCGATGCCTCAGAATTGAGAACAAGCCTACCCAGGCGACCTCTGGTTGCTCCTAGAGGGAGACAAATTTCGACAATGCAAGCAATTGAAGATAGGGACAGCACACCTGGAAAGAGAAGATCATCTGCACGACAATTGTCGCCTCCGATGACTCCAAGGACTAAGGCAAAGACTGCGTCGTCGAATCCGCCTTCACCGATTCAGGACGCTACTCCATCAGGGACAGGATCTTATCAACAAGTGAACGCCCCATCAAGTGGTAGCGACATCTTCACTGCCTATCAGAGTGAATTAGCTGAATACAAGACATCACTGGAAAGGGCCACTGAAGAAGAATCCGTACTTCAGGCAAGATTGAGCGAGACGACAGCATATGCCTATCAACAATTTAATTTCCTGGAAAGCACCACTCATCAAGAGATGATGTCGATGACCGAACAACTCCAGATGCTGAACTTCGAGTTACAGGCTGCACAGCAAGAAGACGAAGGTGCGACCTACAGGATCGAAGAGTTGGAAAGGTATCAGACTATGTCGAATGAAGCTGCATCTCATTTGGAATTCAAATATTCACGACTACGTTCGGAATTCGATGAACAAATGGGACAAGCAAACGCAATTATGGTGCATGTGGGCGCTGATGCGAATGCTCACATCAATCAACTCAGACTGGAACTGGAAAACGCAGAGATGAATGCCAAGCAGGAAGCTCTAGCGGTCGGCTATGCCAACGACCAAACATGTGCTTTACAGATCGAGATGCTCGAGGTTGCTAATCAGAACCAGACGATGAAGCACACCATGGCCATGAACATCAGGCGACTGGAAACTGAGCTCGATGCTGCTGACATGAAGAGGGACGAGATCATGAAGGAGTTCCGTAGTAACATAAGATCTGAACATGACCGTTATGCAGAATGTGAACATCACTTAGCTTTGGAAGAATCGCAACTTCGATTGCAGGTGATCCACAATGAGAACTTACAATCTCGACTAGCGATTTCTGAGAACAGGGTTTCTGAAGAATCTCTAGCTGAATCAGGTGGCATGCGGGACATGAGGATCATGGGACTACGTTCTGAACTACACATGAAACAAAGTCTTTTAGATCGAATGCAACAGCAACTGACTGAATCGAAGAATCAGTATCATGAACTTTCCTGTCAACAAGCCAGAAGATCATCACCAAGCAGATCACCGCATGGAGGACCTCTCTATGAGATGTACATGCAAGCCGTGCGTGAACGTGACAGCTTGAAAGAATCCAAGGCCGAAGTTGACAAGTTGTACTTGCAGAATAGATCTGAACTCATTGACACTGAGGACCTGCTCAAAGTATTCCAGCGAAACTTTGATGAAACTGGTAAGAAATATCAAGATGCTCTGAACAAGATCGATCACATGAGTAACAATCCGAATGTGACGAGTACCTTGTTTGACAGTTTGCACAATGAAATCAATGACAGGGATACAGCTATTGCTCGCCTTCATACTGAACTTGAAGCCCAAAAGGACTCTCTTGAGCGTGCTCACAGGGATGCAGGTAAGTCCATCAAGATGTTGAACGACAGAAGACTCGTGATCAAAGGTGCGACTGACTATTCCATTCCTGAAAGCCATTTGACCGAGATGCATCAATTGGCCAATGAGCGTTACGCTGAGGTAGAAGAAATGTCGAGCACTATTGCTGCCCTGAAGTTGGAAAACCAAGCTCATTCTTCTTCATCAATGAATAGACCGACTACATTACATGGGTACCCCAGTAATGCCATGCCTCGGAATGAATGTGAAGAGAAGTGTGCCAAACTGAAAGCAGAGTTGGACGAGATGAAGCAAGAGAGGAACGCTGAAGTTCGAAATCTTCAAGATGAGTTGAAGAAGATGGAAGATCGTAAAGATTACTATAAGAACAATTTCTCTCAAGCTGAAGATCGTGCCAATGATGAAGAGCAGGAATACCGAGCAGAAGCTGAAGCCTTCGAGAAGCTCAGGAACGAGTACAACACAAATGTCAAGGAGTTGGAGAACCTTGAAAGGGATAGATCCAAGTCATCCGTATCTCTAAGAGAAGCCGAAAAGATCAGCCTCCAACCCTGGCCTAAGACCACTGAACTTTCATCATGGAAGGGAAGTGTCGTTCATGAAGTTTGCGTTGCAAGTGGAGATCGAAACTATGAGGATTGGAAAGCGTGGTTAGCTCCGTGTCTTGCAGATCAACCTGACTTGGAGGCGCTGGCCAAAGCTCCTGATGTGAGATTCCAATCCATTGATGCCAAGCTCTCCAACGCCTTGAGGAAAGTCATTGACAATGCTGGGGACAAGTCCATGCAAGTGAAGTATGACATGTCCATGAAGAACCAATTGTATGGGAGAAGTGGGGACTTCATCAAGGGACGAGAACTATTCGCAATGATACTGATTAGCTTCAAGTCACCTGACCACACTGAAGTTCTCTACAATGCCCATCATTTGTATATGTTCAACTACTATGGAGATGACCAACTTGAGGCCTTCTACAACAAATGGCTTGACATCGTATACAACATGAAACATGATGATCTGCCTTCCAACAATTCCCTGCG